TGTAACTTTGGTCAGTCACTAAACACAGGTAGTCCTCGACTTGTGACCCCAATTGAGCCCAACATTTCTGTTGTTAAGTGAGACATTTGTTAAGTGAGTTTTGCCCTATGTAACAGATTTAACAGACTAAGAGTTGGAAGGGATCTTGTACTGTGTTTCCCCAAAAATAAGACCAGGTCTTATATTAATTTTTGCTCCAAAAGATGCATTAGGGCTTATTTTCTGGTTAGGGCTTATTTTGGGGAAAATACGGTACTAAATGCACCCAAGAGCCTTGGTGGTGCAGCAGACTAAAGTCCTGTTAACTAGCACCAGCTGCCTGCAATTACTGCAAGTTCAAATCTCACCAGCCTTCCATCCTTTCGAGGTAGGTAAAATGAGGACCCGGATTGTGGGGGCAATAAGCTGACGTTGTATAAAAAAGAACACCGCTTGGGGGGGCCGAAAACCCTATTAAGCAGGTATATGCAAAAGTATGAAGGCTATAGTTTAATGCATTGTAAGCCGCCCTGAGGCTCCGGAGAAGGGCGGCTTATAAATCGAACCAATAAATAAATAAATAAAATCTGGCTGATAATCTTAACTGGGGCTTATTTTGGGGGTAGGGCTTATATTATGAGCATCCTGAAAAATCATGCTAGGACTTATTTTCCGGTTGGATCTTATTTTCGGGGAAACAGGGTAGGTCATCCAGTCCAACACCCCCGCCCACAACCCGCCATCCAAGCAGGAGACCCTCCACCATTTCTGACAGAGGGCAGTCCAGTCTCTTCTTGCAAGCTTTCAGTGATGAAGCCCCCACAACATCCGCTCTTTCTGGAGACAGCTGTTAAGTGAATCACTGCAGCTGTTAATCTAGTAACACGGTTAAGCGAATCCAGCTTCCCCATTGACTTCGCTTATCAGAAGGTCACAAAGGGGAGCACCTGGCCCTGGGACACAGCAACGGTCATAAATATGAAGCAGTTGGCAGTCACCTGAATTTTGATCACGTGATCACGGGGATGCTGCCATGGTCGTAACTGTGAAAAACGGTCATAAGTCGCTTTTTCCAGTGTTGTCACTTTAAATGGTCACTAAATGAACTGATGTAAATTGAGGACGGCCTGTGCAAGCACCTACCTAGCTTTGGATTCCAGGGAGGGGGGGGGAGGAGCTGACTTGGAGGAGACTTTTGTGCACCCTTCCCCATTTCCCCACAGCAGCCCCTTGAAGGAAGTGGAGTGAATCACCCATCCGATTTTCCAGAAATGGGGGGGAGGGCTGCCCCCTCTTTCAAGAACCAGCCTCGTGCCCCCCCACCTCCAAATTTTCTCAGCTAAGCCTCTAAAGATCCGAGGTTGCTGCTTCCGGACTGTTGATCTTCAGGCAGGAGTTTAAAAAGTGACTTGGAACGGCTTCTTGAGTTAAACCAGGTTTGCATCAGATCAGGAATTGTGGCTTCCTCATCTAGTCCTGTTTTCTGACTCAGGGATGCTGCGTTTCTCTGGCTCTCTGGTGCCCCAGTGGAAAAAAAGGATTCCCTTCAGTCCCGGGGCTGCCATGGGGTATGTGATTATATTGGGGGAGGGGTGGGCAGCATCTCTTCAATGGGGATTTTCTCCTGCCCTTTTGCCCACCCCCACCCCCAACCCCTTTTTACCAGGGAAAATCCGGACCACTTTCTGAGCCTCGGAGTAAGAGGCGAACAGAGCATTGAGGCTGGTCCACTTCCCGAGCAGGCCTCTTTATTATTTATTTATTTATTATTTAAATCTATATACCGCCCTTCTCCCGAAGGACTCAGGGCGGTGTACAACCAAAAATAAAAACATAAACATATAAAATTAAAAACAATTTAAAAGTATATTAAACAAATTTGGCCCATATTGATTAGAAAAAAACCCCTTTTTAAAAAAAAAATGAATTAAAAGCAATTAAAAGAGCTACGCCAGCCCGGCTTGCTGGAATACCGAGTCTGAAAGGAGAAGGGCGGTATAGAAGTTTGAATAATAAAATAATAAATAGAAAAGTTTTGAGGGCACTTCGCCCTTTCAGGATAACTTGAATCGGAAGGGACCTTGGAGGTCATCTAGTCCAGCCCCCTACTCAAGCAAGGAAACCTGAGACCCTTCCAGACCGAGGGCTGTCCAGTCTCTTCTTGAAAGCCTCCAGTGATGGAGCATCTGCAACTTCTGGAGGCGAATCAGATACAGATGAATAGAGTTGGAAGGGACCTTGGAGGTCATCTAGTCCAACCCCCCGCCCAAGCAGGAGACCCTACACCATTTCTGACAGAGGGCAGTCCAGTCTCTTCTTGAGAGCCTCCAGGGATGAAGCTCCCACAACTTCTGAAGGCAACTTTATTGGATGTTCCAAAAGTTTCAAATGAGGGCAGCTCGAAGACCCCCACCCACCCACCCCCCCAGCCATCGGGCGCCCGCTTAAGGGAAGGGCTGCCTCCACCGCCCCCGCGGCCCTCTCGATGGCCAAAGACCCAGCTGCGGGGCAGGGGACCACCCACCTCCCTCGCCCCCCGGGCCCGTCCAGTGAGCGGCTGCCCAGCTGAAGCGCCTCCGCCTCCTGCGTGGGCGAGCCCGGCCAAGGGAATAAAAGGCAGCCGGATGAAAGCGACGGGCAGGAGGAGACGAACCTCGCCGGGGACCCGCCGGAGAGATCCTCAGCCAAGGTGGGTACCCTCGCCCCCCTTCATGCTCAGCCCGGCTCTTTGCCCGCCTCTTCTTTCCGTCCTTTGGAGAGGAGAGGGTCGTGCAGTCACAGCAGAGGCTTTTGAGGGGCATCCCGGTTAGCCCCCAGCCCTCCTCTGCCTTTTTTTTTTTTATTTGATTTATATGCCGCCCTTCTCCGGAGACTCCAGGCTAACACATTGTAAGCCTTGTGGAGGCTTACAGTGCGTTAAGCAATAGCCTTCATACTTTTGTATATTTATACAAAGTCAGCTTATTGCCCCCACAAACTGGGTTCTCAATTTACCTACCTTAGAAAGGATGGAAGGCTGAGTCAACCTTGAGCCTGGTGAGATTTGAACTTACAGTAATTGCAGGCAGCTGGTGTTAATCACAATGCTTTTAGTCTGCTGAGCCACCAAGCTCTGGCCTCACAAGCAAGGGGGAGGGAAGCCGGTGGGGTCCCCGGCCTGCCTATCTCGGCCCCAGTTTTGGGCTAAGAAAAGAGGGCTGCCTCTGAGCAGGGGAAGGACTACAGGGAGTCCTCCAGTTTATTTATTTATTATTTATTTATTGGTTCGATTTATATGCCACCCTTCTCCGGAGACTCAGGGCGGCTTACAGTGCATTAAGCAATAGCCTTCATCCTTTTGTATATTTATACAAAGTCAGCTTATTGCCCCCACAAACTGGGTTCTCAATTTACCTACCTTAGAAAGGATGGAAGGCTGAGTCAACCTTGAGCCTGGTGAGATTTGAACTTACAGTAATTGCAGGCAGCTGGTGTTAATCACAATGCTTTTAGTCTGCTGAGCCACCAAGCTCTGGCCTCACAAGCAAGGGGGAGGGAAGCCGGTGGGGTCCCCGGCCTGCCCTATCTCGGCCCCAGTTTTGGGCTAAGAAAAGAGGGCTGCCTCTGAGCAGGGGAAGGACTACAGGGAGTCCTCCAGTTTATTTATTTATTATTTATTTATTGGTTCGATTTATATGCCGCCCTTCTCCGGAGACTCAGGGCGGCTTACAATGCGTTAAGCAACAGCCTTCATCCTTTTGTATATTTATACCAAGTCAGCTTATTGCCCCCACAAACTGGGTCCTCATTTCACCTACCTTAGAAAGGATGGAAGGCTGAGTCCACCTTGAGCCTGGGGAGATTTGAACTTACAGTAATTGCAGGCAGCTGGTGTTAATCACAATGCTATCAGTCTGCTGAGCCACCAGGCCCTTTGCCTGCTGCCCTCCCCCCTTTTCTTCTCCCCGACGTCAGCCCACTGACCCTGCTACTGCATGGGCAGCCTTGCTTTGCCCCACTGACCAGGGTGGGCAGCAAACTCCCCTATGGGGAGTGGGGAGTGGGGAGGCTGGTCAGGAGACCGGTGGGGGGGGGCACTGGCAGGTTTCTCCTATGCAGGGGAATGTGGGTGGGGGAGAGACACAGTTTCCAGATCCCCTCCCCTCACCTTGGTTGCAGGAACTGGGCATGGCTAGTCTAGTGAAGAGAAGGGCCAGGGGAGACAGGATAGCAGTCTTGGGCAGGGGGGTGGACTAGATGACCTACAAGGTCCCTTCCAACTCTGTTAATCTGAATCTATCTGCCTGGAGACTAAAACCTACAATGAACGGTTGCAGGAACTGAGCATAGCTAGTCTAGTGAAGAGAAGGACCAGGGGAGACAGGATAGCATCTTCCAATATTTGAGGGGCTGCCACAGAGAGGAGGAAGGGGATCAATCTATTTTCCAAGGCACCCGAAGGCCAGATAAGGAATAATGGATGGAAACTGAACAAGGAGAGATTCAATCTGGAAATAAGGAGAAATTTCCTGACAGAGAAATTTCCAGACAATCAACCTATGGAAGTGAAGTTGCCTTCAGATGTTGTGGGAGCTTCATCACTGGAGGTTTTCAAGAAGAGATTGGACTGCCATTTGTCAGAAATGGTGTAGGGTCTCCTGCTTGGGTGGGGGTTGGGCTAGATGACCTACAAGGTCCCTTCCAACTGTTAATCTGTTAAAACAGGCTGGGGAGCCCAAGTTGTTCCTCCAGTTGACAACACCTTGCCCCCACCCCTGGTGATGTGGAGGAGGGGCTTACCTGTGCGCCCTCCAATAGACTCCCAGGCAGGAAGAGTCCTTATTGCATCCTAGATAAAGAGCTGTCCAATCTTTTATTGACAGTGATGGAGCACCCATCACTCCAGCAGGCAAGCCGTTTCCTTGATTAATCCTTCTCATTGTCAGGAAATTCCTTCTTATTTCCAGGTCTGGCTAGTTTGCATCCGTTGCTTCTTGTCCTATCGGCAAGAGCTTTGAAGGATAAATCGATCCCCTCTTAAGATCGCGACCATTTGCAACCTCTTCCCAAAAAGTGGGATGGGTCGGGAAGGAAAATGGTGGAGCAGGTCTGCTCTCTTCTGCCGGAGAAGGACAAAAAAAAGATGTGGAGACTTTGGAAAAAGTTCAGAGAAGAGCAACTAAGATGATCAAAAGCCTGGAGACTAAAACATACAAAGAACGGCTGCAGGATTTGAGTTTGGTTAGTCTAGAGAAAAGAAGGACTAGAGGTGACATGATAACAGTATTCCAGTATTTGAGAGGCTGCCACAAAAAAGAGGGGATTAAGCCAGGGGTGAAATGTAAAATTTGTTACTACAGGTTTTGTGGGTGTGGTTTGGTGGTGGTGGGGTAATGTGACTGGGTGGGCGTGGCCAACTTTTTTTTTTTTTAATTTTTCAAAGCATTTTTTCTAATGCTTTGAAAAGCCTCTGCCGATCAGGCAACTCAGCTGGGATCGTCAGAGACTTTTCAAAGCATTTTTTTTACCACCTCTTCAGCCAAGAAGTTGCAGAAAAAAATGCTTTGAAAAGCCTCTGATGATCCCAGCTGAGCCACGCGATCATCAGAGGGTTTTTTTTTTTTTTACTTTTAAAAGCATTTTTTCATCGGAAGAGGTTGTAGAAAAAATGCTTTTAAAAGTAAAAAAAAAAAAGCCTCTGATGATCGTGCGACTCAGCTGGGCATGATGGGGGAGCGCAGGGATTTTTGCTACCGGTTCTCCGAACCACCCACCGCCATCGCTACCGGATCAGGCAATCTGGTCCGAACTGGGAACATTTCACCCCTGGATCAAACTATTCTCCAAAGCACCAGAAGGCAGGAGAAGAAACGATGGAAGCTACTCAAAGAGAGAAGCAACCTGGAATTGAGGAGAAACTTCCTAACAGTGAGGACAATTAACCAGTGGAACAGCTTGCCACCAGAAATCATGGATGCTCCATCACTGGAGGTTTTTAAGAAGAGACTAGACAGGCACTTATCTGAAACGTTACAGGTTCTCCTACTTGAGCAGGGGGCTGGACTAGGAGACCTCCAAGGTCCCTTCCAGCTCATTCATTCTAAACTGGGAATAGAATGTTGACTTCTTCGCCAATGACCAGAACTGAATGTCCAGCTTCCTTTAACTTTTCTTCTCTCTTCTCCTTCTTAGTAAAGGAGAGATGAGGATGCTGCAGGAAGCCGTTTCCCTTCTCCCATCTCTTGGAGAGCAGAAAATGTTGCCCAGGTTAGCCACTGTCCTGATGGTTCTCGGCATCCTACCTCTGCCCCTTAGCAGTACCCAGGTAAGAGGACGTAGAAAGGGCTGAGAAAAGGGGATGCCCAGCAGATCCCAGGAGCATGGGGCTGGGGAGCTGAGGAGACACAGGCCAGTTGTTCCTGGTGGGGGTGGCCAGGAGCCAAAAGCCCAGGATGTTTATTATTCAGGCCTTCTCAATATTTCGACTTCGCCCTCCAAAAGTTTTCTTTGGCAACTTACCACCGTCTGTGGTCATGATCTAAAACGTACATGTCCAAAATTGCCTCTCCCAGTAAGTTGAGAAATACAGTTCCCATAATTCCTTGTAGCAACAATGTCCACAGGAGAGGAGAGGAGGGGAGATCAGAAAAGGCAAGATGGAAACTGCAGAATCAAGGGTTCAAGTCCTGCCTTATGCTTGAAAACCAACTGGATTAGTTCATTACCTTGAGTTATTTGTAAAACACAGGTACTCCTCGACTTACAACCATAATTGAGTCCAAAATTTCTCTTGCTGAGCGAAACATTTGTTAAATTAATTTTGCCTCATTTTACGACTTTTCTTGCCACCGTGGTTAAGTGAATCACTGCAGTTGTTCAGTTAGTAACATGGTTGTTAAGGGAATCTGGCTTCCCCATTGACTTTGCTTGCCAGAAGGTCACAGAAGCTGATCACGTGACTTCACGGCGCCGTCATAAATATGAGTCAGTTACCAAGCATCTGAATTTTGATCATGGGGATGCTGCAATGGTCATAAGTGCGAAAAACGATTGTAAGTCACTTTTTTCAGTGGAGTTGTCATATCGAACGGTCACTCAATAAACTGTTGTAAGTTGAGGATTATCTATAATAACGACGGGATTTAAATCCTTGGGGGCCACAAGCACAAGTTGCCTTTTCACCCTCAAGCGATCCTGGTGGATTGGGTGCTGACCCTGAGGAGATGCCAGCCAGAAGAAAATCCCTTTAGGATGATCTGATTTCTGAGGTGGGGGGAGACCCAGCTTTGGGGGCTCCTTCCCAACTGGCTCCGCTCTCCTCCCTCTGCCCAGAACTGCCTGAGCAAGCAACACGTTGCAGCCGCCATCCAACAGATGCAGAAGCTGCTCTCGGCTCACGAGGAGGCCCAGATGCGCAGCCTGCGAAGCCTGAAGAAGCAGCTGGCACTCCTGCCAGCCAGTGCCCAGAAGCCGCTGGCCAAGTGGAATGGTAAGAGGACAGCAAAGTGGGCCAAGAAGTCAAGATGGCATCTGTCATGTACGTTACAGACGCCATCTTGCTTCTTTTGACATTCCCCCCCCCCCAACATCATCTCCACGGCCTCTCATGCAGGGGTGAAATCCAGCAGGTTCTAACAGGTTCTGGAGAACCCGTAGCGGAAATTTTGAGTAGTTCAGAGAACTGGCAAATACTACCTCTGGCTGGCCCCAGAGTGAGGTGGGAATGGAGATTTTGTAATATCCTTCCTCCAGGAAGGGAGGGAATGGAGATTTTGCAGTATCCTTCCCCTGCCACGCCCACCAAGCCACACCCACAGAACCGGTAGGGAAAAGATTTGGATTTCATCCCTGCTCCCATGAAATCAAAGATTGCAGAATCCAGGGGAAAAGAGTATTGAGTTGATTTCATTGGAATAAAAATGAATAAATTTTAAAGTTTTTTTTTTTTTTTTTTTTAGCCATTCTGAAATGTATCCCACCTTGCTAGGTGGGTTGTTTCGAGGCTGGATTTGAATCCAGATCTGCCTTGTAGAAGTCCAATAGACTTGTTGTGGGTTATCTACAATCAGGCTTCTTCCTACATGGGGCTCCCCTTGAAAAGCACCCGGAGGCTCCAGCTGGTCCAGAATGCGGCCGCGCGGGTGGTTATGGGCGCAACTCGTTGTGCCCACGTGACATCCCTCCTGCGTGAGCTGCACTGATTCCCAGTGGTCTTCCGGGTGCGATTCAAGGTGCTGGTTACCACCTTTAAAGCGCTCCATGGCTCAGGACCCGGGTACCTCCGAGACCGTCTTCTGCCACCAATAGCCTCCCACCGACCAGTCCGCTCCCACAGAGAGGGTCTCCTCCAGGTGCCATCGGCCAAGTTATGTCGGCTGGCGACACCCACGGGGAGGGCCTTCTCTGTGGGAGCCCCAGCCCTGTGGAACGAACTGCCCCCGGAAGTGCGTAAAATCTCCGACCTCCGTGTATTTCGTTGCGCACTGAAGACCCTGTTGTTCCGCCAGGCCGGACTATCAACATAATAGTTTTAAATTGGGGTATTTAAATTTTTTGGGGTTTTAAATCTGAGCCACTTATTTAATTATTTTAAATTTTACATTGCTGTTTTGTCTGTGTTTTTAAATAGGCTGTACACCGCCCTGAGTCCTTCGGGAGAAGGGCGGTATAGAAATAAAATTATTATTATTATTATTATTATTATTATTATTCCAAATCTGATAGTAGAGGGTATAATAGAAAGGTCTTTGCTGATTATTTAACCCACGTTATTTCTAGGAATTAATTAAAGAAGAGAAGCAACTTAGAACTCAGGAGGAATTTCCTGACAGTGATAATAATTTATCAGTGGAACAACTTGCCTCCAGAAGTTGTGAAAGCTCCAACACTGGAAGTTTTTAAGAAGATGTTGGATAACCATTTGTCTGAAGTGATGTAGGGTTTCCTGCCTAAGCAGGGGGTTGGACTAGAAGACCTCCAAGGTCCCTTCCAACTCTGTTATTCTAATAGAAAGGCGCTTCTGATTAAGCCAGGAGTTTTCTGAGGAACCAAGAAGCGTCTCCAGCTTGTTTCTTCTTCTGTCTTTCTCCCCACAGAGAGCTGCACCCTCCCTTCTGCGCCTACCAATGGCAGGAGGCTGGGCAGGGGAAGGGCCGTGGGGAACGAGGTCCATTTTGTCTGCAACCCTGGCTTTGCGCTGACCGGGTCTGAGACTCGGATCTGCCTGGAGAACAGGACCTGGAGTGGACGGCAGGCCTTCTGCAAAAGTAGGTGGAAGGAGAGGTCTCCCACTCGTCATCTTGACTTCGAAGCAGTCTCGCCTCCCAGATAGTCCTCAATTTAAGACTATAAATTGTGCCCTGAATTTATGTTACTAATTTAACATCTGCAGTGATTCACTTAACAACGGTGGCAAGAAAAGTCGTAAAATGGGACAAAACTCAACAGAGAAGTCTTAGCCGGGAAATCTGTTAAGTGAGTTCTGTCCCATTTTACGACTTTTCTTGCCACCGTTGTTAAGTGAATCACTGCAGGTGTTAAATTAGTAAGGTGGTTGTTAAGTGAATCTGGCTTCCCCGCAGACTTGGCTTGTCGAATGGTTGCAAAAGACGATTACATGATTTTGGGACACAGTGATGGTCATAAGTATGAACCAGTGGCCAAGCGTCTGAATTTTGATCACGTGACCAGGGGGATGCTGCAACGGTCATAAGCGTGAAAAACGGTTGTAAGTCACTTTTTTCAGTGCCGCTGTAACTTCAAACTGTCGCTAAATGAAGTGTTGTAACTTGAGGACTACCTGTATAAAGCCTGCTTTTGGGGAGCTGAGTTGCTTTAAAATCTGTTTTATTGTTCACGCAGATTATTTTGCTTATCTGTTCGTCTTCTATACCAGGCGTCTCCAACCTTGGCAACTTTAAGCCTGGAGGACTTCAATTCCCAGAATTCCTCAGCCAGCTAGGGAATTCTGGGAACTGAAGTTCTCCAGGCTTAAAGTTTCCAAGGTCGGAGTCCCCTGTTCTATACAACATTCACCCCAGGGGTGAAATGTTCCCGATTCGGACCGGATCGCCCGATCTGGTAGCGATGACAGCTTGTGGTTCGGAGAACCGGTAGCAAAAATCCCCCCCCCATACCCAGCTGAGCTGCGCAATCATCAGAGGCTTTTTATTTTTAGTTTTTAAAAGCCTTTTTTCTACAACCTCTTTGGCTGAAAAAATGCTGTTAAAAGTAAAAAAAAAAAAAAGCCTCTTATGATCGCGTGGCTGGATCGTCAAAGGCTTTTAAAAGCATTTTTACTACAATCTCTTCAGAGGTTGTAGAAAAAATGTGTTTAAGAGCCTCTGACGATCCAAGCTGAGTTGCCTGATCGTCAGAAGCATTTAAAAGAAAAAAAGCCTCTGCCAATCAGGCAACTCAGCTGGGATCGTCAGAGCCTTTTGAAAGCATTTTTTACAACCTCTTCGCCAAAGAGGTTGTAGAAAAAATGGTTTTAAAAGTAAAACCAAAACTTAAAACTTTCCTTTTCCAACAAGCCGGGCTGGCCTAACAAATCTTTTAAATGATTTTAAATTTGTTTGTCTTTTTAAATTTTGGGCCAAATTGAGATATTTTCTTTTAATCTGTTCTTAATGTATTTATTATGTGTTTTTATTTGGCTGTACACCACCTTGAGTCCCTAGGGAGAAGGGCGGTATATAAATTTGAAGTAAAATAAATAAATAAATAAATAAATAAATAAATAAATAAATAAATAAATAAATAAAAATTGGCCGCACCCAACCAGTCACATTACATTACCCCCCCCCCCAATCAAGCCACAGAACTGGTAGTAACACATTTTAGATTTCACCACTGATTCACCCCCTTTTTCCTATGTCTGCAGAGGGGTCAGAATTCGGTCAAAATGACTAGGTGGCTCAGGCCTAACGAGTTGGCTAAGACACTGAGCTTGTCGATTGGAAAGGTCGCCAGTTCAGCGGTTCAAATCCCTGCATGAGCAGGGGGTTGGACTAGATGACCTCCAAAGTCCCTTCCAACTCTGTTACCATTACCTGTTAGCTGGGTCCTGCCAGGAGAGGAGAGGGCTGTATCTCAACACTTGGCCAAACGAAGCATCTCGTTTTCTTTATCCCCCAACCAGGCACCAGCCATTGTGCCAGTCGCCCCTGTGCCAACGGAGGGACCTGCGTGGATGCCGTCCATCGTTACAGCTGCTTGTGCCCCAGCGGCTGGTCGGGGAGCAACTGCCAGGCCCCCCTTCATGCCCGTAAGTGACGGAGACCCCTGGGGTTGCTGCACTAGCAAAATCCTGAGGATCCAAGAAGCAGGACTGGCTGTTTGGTCCTCTCTTCCCTCGAGGGGTAGAAGGAGGGAGGGAGGGAGGGCAAGGGAGCTATGGGGTACACCTCTGAGCAGGGACTTTGGATGTGGGGGCTCCCTACCCTAGAGCAACATTCTGAGCCCCTGCACCACACTTTTTTAAAAAAAATTTGATTTATATGCCGCCCTTCTCCGGAGACTCAGGGCGGCTTACAATGCGTTAAGCAATAGCCTTCATCCTTTTGTATATTTATACAAAATCAGCTTATTGCCCCCACAAACTGGGTCCTCAATTTACCTACCTTAGAAAGGATGGAAGGCTGAGTCAACCTTGAGCCTGGCGAGATTCGAACTTGCAGTAATTGCAGACAGCTGTTGTTAATCACAATGCTTTTAGTCTGCTGAGCCACCAGGCCCAGCCACACTTGGCTCTGACAGGCTCAGTGTTTCATTTCCATTGGATCGGATTGAAAGGGGGGGGTCTCTCAGCAGGTGGTGGCTGAGATGGGAGACCCCAGCCAGCCAGGGAGGACAGAAAGAAGTCTATATTCATGTTGCTGCCAAAGAAACAGCAGGGATGGATCTGTGTCCTCTCGGGGGTGGAGGGAAAGCTTGGCTCAAGTAGTGAAGAGAAGGACCAGGGGAGACAGGATAGCAGTCTTCCAATATTTGAGGGGCTGCCCCAGAGAGGAGGAAGGGGGTCAAGCTATTCTCCAAAGCACCCGAAGGCCAGACAAGGAATAATGGATGGAAACCGAACAAGGAGAGATTCAACCTGGAAATAAGGAGGAATTTTCTGACAGTGAGAACAATCAACCCATGGAACAGAAGTTGCCTTCGGAAGTTGTGGGAGCTTCATCACTGGAGGCTTTCAAGAAGAGACTGGAGTGCCACCTCTAAGAAATGGTGTAGGGCAGCGGTCTTCAAACTTGGCAGCTTTAAGACTTGTGGACCAGCATAGCTGGCTGGAGAATTCTGGAAGTTGAAGTCCACAAGTCTTAAAGCTGCCAAGTTTGAAGACCTCTGGTGTAGGGTCTCCTGCTTGGGCAGGGGGTTGGACTAGATGACCTACAAGGTCCCTTCCAATTCTGTTAATCTAATCTAAGGTAGATTGGGTTGAAAGCCTTTACTGGTTGTCCTTGACTGTAATTGGGACCAGAAATATATATATGGTATAGGGTCTCCTGCTTTGAGTAAGGGGTTGAACTAGGAGCCCTCCAAAGCCCCTTCCAGCCTTACGATTCTGGGTTCTGTGTTCTCCTAAATGGGCATTTTTGTCAGAAACCAGTAAAAAGTGTTTTAAGAAACTGGCAAAATATGTCACCAATTGCAATCATGTGACCCCCAGAATGCTGCAGCCGGTCCGTTGCCAAGAGCGCAAATTGTGTGGGGGCGGATGTGGTGGGGTGGGGAATCAGTCTGACACTTTATGGTGGCTAAAAGTGCTTCACAGCAGAGGTGGGTTTCAGCAGGTTCTGACCAGTTCTGGCGAACCGGTAGTGGAAATTTTGAGTAGTTCGGAGAACCAGTAGTAAAAATCCTGACTGGCCCCACCCCCATCTATTCTCTGCCTCCCGAGTCCCAGTTGATCGGGAAGAAATGGGGATCCTTCCCCTGGAGTGGGGTGGGAATGGAGATTTTGCAGTATCCTTCCCAAGTGGGGAGGGGTGGGAATGGAGTGGGGTGGGATGGGAATGGAGATTTTGGAGTATCCTTCCCCTGCCACGCCCATCAAGCCACACCCACCAAGCCACGCCTAAAACCCAAAATTTTTGTTGCTCAGTGAGACATTTGCTAAGTGAGTCTTGCCCCATTTTACAACTTTTCGTGCCACAGTTCTTAAGTGAATCACAACAGTTGTTAAGTTAGTAACACGGTTGTTAAGGGAATCTGGACTCCCCATTGACTTTCCTTATCAGAAGGTCGCAGAAGGACACAACCCTGGGATACTGCAGCCATCATAAGTATGAGTCAGCTGCCAAGCATCCGAATTTTGATCCTATGACTATGGTCATACTGCAACGGTCGTAACTGTGAAAAATGGTCATACATCACTATTTTCAATGCCGTCGTAACTTTGAAGAGTCACTAAAGGAACTGTTGTATGTGGTAGACTACCTGTAGTCATAAGTAGAGGATTATCTCTAGCGGAGGCTGTAAAAAGCCTGTGCAACAAGGAGACCCCCAAAGGCCCCATCTCTTCCCCACCCTCTGCTTGTTGTGGTCCGTCAGCGGCCTGTGCAGCTAGTAGCTGATTCTGACAGCGAGGAGGCTGGTGTGGTGCTGCGCTAGCATCCTGTGCAGCTGGCACTTGAGTCAGACAATGAGGAGGCTGGAGAAGATGTGGTGCCAGAGGTGGGGATTCAGCCAGGAGGGCCTTCAGAACTTCCAGAAGCTCCCTTAAGTGAAGAGGAAGAAGAGGAGGAGCATCTTCTCGATGCACGGGTGCGTAGAGCTGCCAAAAGGCAGGAGTGGCTCCTCAGGAGGAGGTCTCCTCGAGAGTAAGGCTTGGGGCTAATTGGCCACTCCCTTAGCCTATTTAAGGAGAAACGCCGACTGAAGCAATTTGTAGGGAACAACTTTAGTTCACTCTCCTTCGTGTCTGGATCTTAGTTTTCTTATCAGTTTCCTGCAAATTGCTTCTGGGCTTTCTGCCAACCACAGTAAGATTACGATTATTTATTCTTTGGATTCTTGTAGGCTGTTAAAAAAGTTAATTAACAGCCTTTGTTTGAAAAAGACTGATTTAATTTAGTAAACTAAGGTTTGTACAGACTTTGTGTGTGCTGCATTCTTTGGGGTCCGTAGCTGGGGCAGAACAGTGCTCTGCTCGTTGGTCTCACTGCAAAGGCCACCCTAATGGGGACCTCTTGACCACAGATAGGGCAGCTGTGAGCAACGCAACCTTCAGCCGTCAACCCCGCTGCGTTGAGAATCCGGGGGGCTCCCGCCAATGCAGCTGTGATGCTGGCTTCCTGTTGACAAGGAGAGGCATGTGTCAAGGTGAGATTACGGGGTGGGGGGCGTGCTAGTAACCATATGTACCCCAACTGGGACCCTCAACCAAAGGGGCAATTGCTGCTCCCAGAATTCTAACATTTTTTGCATCACGGATTCTTCCAATCTTGCTTTACAAGAAAATAAAAAGAAGCTAGATGTCTACGGACCTTCTCAGCCATCCAGGTCATGGTTGTCCCAAAGGCGCTTTTTCCCCCACCCAAGAGGCAAACTGGACTTTCTGTTTTTTCTTTGAAGAGATTTCGCTTCTCATCCAAGAAGCTTCTTCAGCTCCCCCCACCATCCAGTCGGAGTTGGATGGTGAAAACAGCCTGAAAACTGGCCAGAAAATGGCCCAGAAAATGTCCTGAAAAAAACGGCCTGTTTTTTGGCCATTTTTGATGGTTTTTCGGGCTGTTTTCTGGCACCCTTCGCCCGTGAAGACCAGCTGGCCAGAAACCAGAACAGCAGCTGGTGACGGTGCACATGCCCACAGAGAGGACACACATGGCATAGGTTCGTCACCACGGGTATAGGTTCTCCTGCTTGAGCAGGGGGCTGGACTAGAAGACCTCTAAGGCCCCTTCCAGCTCTGCTCTGTTTTGTTCTATTCTATTCTATTCTATTCTATTCTTTTTTTAAAAAAAATGATTTATATGCCGCCCTTCTCCGGAGACTCAGGGCGGCTTACAATGCATTAAGCAATAGCCTTCATCCTTTTGTATATTTATACAAAGTCAGCTTATTGCCCCCACAAACTGCGTCCTCATTTCACCTACCTTAGAAAGGATGGAAGGCTGAGTCAACCTTGAGCCTGGCGAGATTCGAACCTGCAGTAATTGCAGGCAGCTGGAGTTAAATTACAATGCATTAGTCTGCTGAGCTATCCAGGCTATGCTATGCTATGCTATGCTATGATTCTATTCTATTCTATTCTATTCTATTCTATTCTATTCTATTCTATTCTATTCTATTCTCTGCTCTGCTCTGCTCTGCTCTGCTCTGCTTTACTCTACTCTACTCTACTCTACTCTACTCTACTCTACTCTGCTCCTATTCTATGCTATGCTATGCTATGCACCTATTCTCTTCTGTTCTGTTCTGTTTTCTATTCCTATTCCTATTCTCACTCACATTTCTACCCTTAAATCTTCTGAAAATACACCCCACCCCCAAAAAAACACCCCTGCTGTTTTAGTCCATTTTAGCCAGGGAGGAACTGGGGCGCTCTGCTTCCTGGAGTCTTCTTGGTCCGCCATCTACCTGATTCTGAGTGGAGGAAAATGGCCATTAAGAGAAAGGAGACGGGGTCTTTGGCTTTGCACTGGTGAAATCCAGTCATTTTGCCGCTGAGTGTGGGCAGGACAATCTCAGGGAATTGCCCATCATGTTGTAGAGTATTATGTGAACCAGACTATGGTTAAGTGATCCTAGGGTGGGTTTTCTTTTGTCTTAGTACACTGTTTCTCCATCTTGGCAAGTTTAAGACCTGTGGATTCTCCAACTCCCAGAAGCTATGCTGGCTGGGAAATTCTGGGAGTTGAAGTCCACATGTTTTAAATTTGCCAAGATAGAGAAACCCTGCCTTAGAATGTAATGTGAATGTCAGGTTTCGAGATCATCTCAAATAAATTGCATTTCAAACAAAGTCTTTGATGAAAAACTCCCATTTATTAAGCACGACATTCTAACTCCGACTCCATCGCAGCCAACACTGACTTCCTGACCCAAAACCCTCTCTTTCCTTTCCCCACTCCTCTGCACTCATTGTCTATCTTCCAAGTCACTCTACCCCTAATCTACTGCTCCAGCTCAAAGGAATTTCCCCCCTCCCATCCCATCTCCTAGGGGATATTATCTCCAGGGAAAATAAGTAGGTGAAAAGTCAAATGTCCCTTTCCAGATGCCTCCTCTTCTCCTTTTTTTTTTAATTGAAAAAGTTTTCAATTACAAATTTTTTCCCCTTTTTCCCCCCCTCCTCCCTAACCCCCCCTCACCACCCCATCCCCCCTGTGACTTCTTCAAAATAAAAACCTAGTACATAACAGATTATATAATATTTTACCATCCCCTTACTCCCCCTGACCCTTACTTCTAGTGATATTATTAATATTATTACTTCCCCCTCTTACCAAACACTTCAAAATAACATTCCATTATAACACTATATGATAACTTCTGATTTAACACAGTAATATTATTATAACTCCCAATTTATCGATAGTCTGCCCTTTTTTTCCCCTTCCCCATACTTATGTCTGTATATTAATATAACATTTCAAAACAACCTTCCACTTTAAAACTATATAATAAATCTTACTTTAACATTTAATCTTTTGCGTATATTAATATAACATTTCAAAGCAGCCTTCCCCATGAATTCTAGTTTTACATTTATTCTACTCTATCCATTTCCTCCACTCCCATATATATGTCTCTTAAGCATCCCTTTTTTTAATCTATACAATCAATACACTAGCCTGTCTCCACCCACTTTCCTACAAAATTACCATGCACAACAATTCTTAATATCTTTATTCTTCTGCCCATCCTACTAAAAAATATTCCCTTATATAAACAAAATCAATGACTTTAAATTTATAATCCATATAATATCTTCTTTGATGTCTTTCCACTGGATTGCTGACTCCATCATCCGGATTAGGGTAACATAACATCCCAGTTGCAACAGAGTATTCAAAATCCTCAGTTATCATCTGCCCCCATCAGTAATGAATATCTTCACATATATATAAAAAAAAGAAAACAACCACCCGAGTGACTTTATAATTGTAATCCATATCTGTAATAGTGGCTTTCTTCAGGATTATTAATTCCCATTCTCATAATGGGGTAACATCCAGATCTTCTGCATGCCCCAGCATAACTCTCTTGCCTTATAGCTCACCATAAATGTAATACGTTAATCAATAAAAAAAAACCAAAAATAGATAATTCCAATCCAACAATTCATAGGCCCTTTTCACATCCCAAAATTACAGCATTGCAGAGGTCTGTCACTCTCCTCAAGATGATATCAACCACTACTTCGCCTCATCCATCTTTTCATATATTCAATCATGTATTTTTTCAAAGTAACTGGCTTTACTGTTGCTTAGTTTAGAAATTTTTATTTTTGTGAGACCTGTTTCTTTTTTTCCTTTCTTTTTGTGGGTTGGCTCTCCATCCTGATTTCCTTCCTGCCAGTTGTGTATCAGCTGGTCGATTTTCATTCTGTTTTATAACTTGATCCTGTTGGTTTTGTTTTTGTGAATCATATTTCTTTTCTGTAAGTTGTATATCAATTGGTTGGTTTCCATGGTTATCTGTAACTTGGCAAGTCATCACGTTAGAATCCAATGCCACTTCTCTCTTATTTATAAATAATCCATCTGAGGTATCTGAAGAATCCAAAGGCAATTCATCTGCAAAGGCCTCTGTAACTCTATATTTTTCCTTTATTTCTAGCTCCTTCTGCTTGTCTTGTGTTGTGCATAAAGATGTTAAGTTCATTTTTAAAAAAATTTGATAAAATTCTTCCGCTTTTTCAACAGTATTTAATTGATATCTTTCTCCTTGATATCTCAATATTATACCAACTGGAATATTCCATCTGAATAAGATATTTCTTTTTTTAAGCTCAGCCACCAAGAAGCCAAATTTCTTTCTTTCCAATAATATCTTAGGCGGGAGCTCTTTATAAATCCAAATCTTTCTTCCAAAAAATTGCAAAGTAGACTTAAAGGATTTCTGCACAATATTATTTCTTATATCTTTATCTGTAAAATAAATCACCACATCTCTAGGCAATTGCCTTTGCTTTGCAATCCAGGAGTTTATTCTATAAACTCTATCGATCCTACAAAGTACCTCCTCAGGTTGAACCTTTAAAATCCCAGCCAGAACTTCAGAAGATATTTTTCTTAAATCCTCTCTGTTATTTTCGTGTAATCCTCTCAGTCTGATTGCATATTCAGTAAAATTATATTGCATCAATAAAACTTCCTTTTCAATACGTTGCTGTATATTTTCTACATTACAATCAGCTTCCATTTCAGGTTTTTCTTCTAAACTATTGTCTTGAGTATTTATCAAATCATTCTCAATTTTTTCTATTTTATTTTCCAAATTGTCTTCAATTTCCTCCACTTTGGACTCTAATAGATTAGTATTTGTATCCAGCCTGATCATAAATTCTGAGAAACCATTAGCCATTTTTAAAATCTTTCGATGCAAAATATCAAACTTTAATTGCACCAATTCTTTAGTTTCCTGCTTAAATTTCTCAAAGTTCTGATTCATAATCTCATCCCTTCTTACAATCTCCTCCAAAAGAAATTCAATTATATTAAAATCAGTTTTCTGAGACTGTAAATTAAGAACTTGTTCATATAATTTGTGGATGGGGGAATCCCCCCCCCCTGCTTGTTTGTCCAGCTTTATAAGCCTAAACGCCATATTTCCACACAGGCAAACTTTTTAGAAAAGAAAAAAAAAAAACCAAGCCTCTTTCCAAACAGGATCAGTATCAAATCAAATCTCCAGGAAGGAGAAAACACAAAAGTGTAGCTTTTTCTTCAAATGTAGCCAGGAGACTTCCGGTTTGCTCTTCGTAGCCTCGGGACCGCCAGCCCCTTCGCCTGTAAAGAGCCGCCTGTACAGCGGAAAGGCGGCTCGAAAAACTCCTTCCGCTTCTCCTGTCAGCACTAGAGTAAATGCAGTTTGAAGTGCTGACAATGAACCATTTCATTGTCTTCTGGTTCCATCTTGGCACACTTTGCAAATGCGCCAATGCTTCTCCACTCCAGGACTCTAAACAGAGCTTCTACCATGATTTGGCTCTACAGTGCCCATTTTTTTGGGCAAAGCTTTTCTGAGCATTGTACCCCAAGTGGGGAACCCCATTTGCATGAATTTACCCTCGGTGAATTCACGGTGGTGGCTCAGTGGCTAAGATGCAGAGCTTGTCAATCGAAAGGTTGGCAGTTCAGCGGTTCGAATCCCTAGTGCTGCCTAACAGGGTGAGCTCCCGTTCTTTGTCCCAGCTCCTGCCAACCTAGCAGTTCGAAAGCATGTAAAAAATACAAGTAGAAAAATAGGGACCACCTTTGGTGGGAAGGGAACAGCGTTCCGTGCGCCTTTGGCGTTGAGTCATGCCGGCCACATGACCACGGAGATGTCTTCAGACAGCGCTGGCTCTTTGGCTTTGAAACGGAGATGAGCACCGCCCCCTAGAGTCTGGAACTAGCACATATGTGCGAGGGGAACCTTTACCTATACCTTTACCTTACTCTCTCTGGGGCACTGAGTTGAGCAGGGATCGGGGAGTTCCTTTCTTGCCCACTCAGCAGCTTCCTGCTCCACCACAGATGTGGACGAGTGCCAACTGTACCAGTCCAACTACCACACCCGAATCTGCCTCCACGAATGCATGAACCTACCTGGGTCTTATCAGTGTACCTGCCCATCAGGCTATCGGTTTCAGGCTGAGCAGAACATATGCAGCGGTGAGTCCTTCCCATCCTCGTTAATAAATTGTAGAAATGTAGACCATTCATTTTACCCTCCTCATCAGGCAGGGCTGTGTGAGTGGTACGGTGGCCTAGAGGTTGAGCTCTCGTCTCACAATCCGGAGGCTGTGAGTTCGATCCTAGGTAAAGGCAGATATTTCTCTCTCTGGGTACAATGAGAATATATCTGCTGAAAAAAAAAACTTCTCATTGGCGACAGGAAGGGCATCCGGCTAGTAAACACTCAACTCCATTCAGTTGCCCAGACTCCACCCCACAAGAGATTATGGGGTCATTAAAAGATGATGATCAGGCAGAGCTGTGTGTATGTGTGTGTACAGGTAGTACAGGTAGTCCTCGACTTATGACCACCATTGAGCCCAAAATTTCTGTTGTTAAGTGAGACATTGGTTCAGTGAATTTTGCCTCATTTTACGACCATTCTTGCCACAGTTGTTAAGAGAATCACTGCACTTGGTAAATTAGTAACCCAGTTGTTAAGTGAATCCAGCTTCCCCCTTGACTTTGTGTTAGAAATTCTCTTTTATTCTGTAGAAATTTTTATTGTATAGAAATTGTAGCAGAGGGTTAACAGGTAGTTCTCGATTTACAACCACAAAATTTCAGTTGCTAAGTGAGACATCTGTTCAGTGAGTTTTGCCCCATTTTCTTTTGTTATGAAGTGAATCTCTGCAGTTGATAAGTTAGTAACATCGTTGTTATGTGAATCTGGCTTCCCCATTGACTTTGCTTGTCGAAAGGTTGCAAAAGGGCATCGCGTGATTTTGGGACACAGCAACAGTCGTGAGTATGAACCAGTTGCCAAGCATCTGAATTTTAATCACGTGACCATGGGGATGCTTCAATGGTCATAAGTGTGAAAAACGTTCGTAAGTCACTTTTTTCAGTGCCGTTGTCACTTCGAACGGTCACTAAATGAACTGTTGTAAGTCAAGGATTATCTGTATTAAATAGCCACATAGATTGGCAGCAAAAGATGGTTACGTAACCATAGAGCTCAAACAAAGTGTAGAGTCACAATAGGCCTTGCTGCTTAACTGTCTCAACTATCATAGATTATAATCATAGAGGCAAACTAAATACTGCCATCTACTGGCTGAATAATTCTGTTCCTTTTGCAAAACGAAATACATTCTAACATGTATTCCAACACTTTTGCTTGTGCAAAGGTTGCAAAAGGGGATCACATGACCTTGGGACACTGCAATGGTCATAAACAGGGGTGAAATCCAGCAGGTTTCAACAGGTTCTGGAGAACTGGTAGCGGAAATTTTGAGTAATTTGGAGAACCGGCAAATACCACCTCTGGCTGGCCCCAGAGTGGAGTGGGAATGGGATTTTGCAATATCCTTCCCCCAGGAGTAGGGAAGGAATGGAGATTTTGCAGCATCCTTCCCCTGTCATGCCCACCAAGCCACGCCCACAGAACCGGTAGTAAAAAAAAATTGGATTTCACTACTGGTCTTAAATATGAATCAGCTACAAAGCATCTGAATTTTGATCACATGATCATGGGGATGCTGCAAAGGTCATAACTGTGAAAAACGGTCATATTTTTCAGTGCTGTTGCAACTTTGAACAGTCACTAAAGGAACTGTTGTAAGTCGAGGACTACCTGCATGAAATGCAAAAACATGGGGCTGAAAGTGTTGGCCCCGTTCATTCCAGAGGTACCAGGAGGCTGGACTGCCCTCAGCACATGGATGCCACAACCCTGCCCCTTAGTAATCTCTTCGGAGCCAGCGTGTAGATTGTTATCAGTTGCAGTGGGGAGTTGCACAGAGTTGGCATCCGACCGTATTCCTGCCTATTTGCTGTGGGTCCTTGCCAGTGACACAATGCCAGCACTCCAGAGCAGTTCTGACCCTCCGCCAAATTCCTAGAGCAGGGTGAGGGTCTGTAAGGTTTTCCAGGACACAGCAGGGCTCCAGACCACCAGGATTGAGACAGGCAGACATGACTCTCTCTCTTGTCTTTGCAAGATGTGGATGAATGTGCCACAAATCAAGACAACTGCAGCCGCGGACAGATTTGCGTCAACGTCTTTGGGGGCTTCCGTTGCGTGAAACCCGAATGCCCCAAGACTCAGTTCAACACAACCTACGTCAAGACATCGGCCTCGTAAGTAGAAACTCCAGGAATGAGGATGGAGGGCTGGGTCCTTAGCAGGAGAGCTGCCCGTGCCCACCCAACAGCCGTTCTGTCCAGAGGCAAACTCCCTCCTGAGAGCCATTAGACGTTAGGATTCTTTCCCCCAATTCAGACGTATCTTTGGGCACCTAAGAGATCTTTAAACGCTTGGTAGCCAGTGGCTCAGTGGCTAAGACGCTGAGCTTGTCGATCGAAAGGTCGGCAGTTCAGCAGTTTGAATCCCCAGTGCCACGTAACAGGGTCAGCTCCCGTTCCTTGTCCCAGCTTCTGCCAACCTGGCAGTTCGAAAGCACATAAAAAATGCAAGTAAAAAAATAGGGACCACCTTTGGTGGGAAGGGAACAGCGTTCCGTGCGCCTTTGGCGGTGAGTCATGCCGGCCACACGACCACAGAGACGTCTTCGGACAGCGCTGGCTCTCTGGCTTTGAAACAGAGATGAGCACTGCCCCCTAGAGTCGGGAATGACTAGCACATATGTGCGAGGGGAATCTTTACCTTTACTTTCGCCCTGACTGGGCATTTCTTTTCCACCTCCTCTTTGCAGGCAGTGTGAACGGAGCCCTTGCCCCATGGGCAGCCAAGCCTGCCAGAAAGCCGCCCATGCCATCTCCTTCCACTACCTGCCCCTCCAGTCCAACCACTCCGTGCCCTGGGTCCTTTTCAAGATGTCTACCAGCCGCTCTCTGGGGGACAGCCTGCGCTTCGCCCTCCTGGGGGGCAACAGCCAGGGAAGGCTTGCTGTCCAGCGCTCAGACCAGCACACGGGGGAACTAGTGCTGACCCGCTCAGTCCTGGGCCCAGCGATCCTGGAGGCCGAGGTGGAAATGAGCGAATTTGCCCAGAAGATCCTTCTAGGGAAGCACATCTTCAAGGTCACGGTGTTGGTTTCCCAGTATGAATTCTGAGCCCCTTTGAAACCCTGTCGGGCCTTGGAGAAGCCCAGGACCAGATGTGGCAGGAACTTTGAGGGTGCAGTTTTCTACGCCAGGGGTCTCCAACCTTGGCCACTTTTAAGACTTGTGGACTTCAACTCGCAGAATTCCTCAGCCAGCTTTTTCTTTCAAGATTAATTAATGGGGATTGGTGTCTCCGGACTTTGCCCGTAGCGTTTTTGAATTTCTTGAAGGACTCCCTGATCTTCCTCATCTTACTGACAAACCAGGGGGATCAGTTCTCTGGGAACAGATGTTCCAGATCAGGGGGTCTCCATCCTTCGCAACGTTAAGCCTGGCGGACTTCAAGTCCCAGAATTCCCCAACCAGCTTTGCTGTCCAATTGAAGTCCACAAGTCTTAACGTTGCCAAGGTTGGAGACCCCTGCTCTATGCAGAATGGGCCATAAAAGCACCGTTATTAAGAACAGCTGCCTGCAATTACTGCAGGTTCGAATCTCGCCAAGGCTCAAGGTTGACTCAGCCTTCCATCCTAGGTAGGTAAATTGAGGATCCAGTTGTGGGGGCGATAAGCTGACTGTATAAATATACAAAAGAATGAAGGCTATTGCTTAGCGCATTGTAAGCCGCCCTGAGTCTCCGGAGAAGGGCGGCATATAAATCAAATTTTTAAAAAAAGGCCAAACAATCCTTGATCTGCTGAACCGGACACTCCTCTCTCCTGTCCATGTGGCTGGACCCTTTCCCCACGATATGGTCCCTTTGAGAGGCTTTGTGGAGAAGCGATGGGAAGCCCCTGGAGGAAGACCAGCCACAGCAACTGGAGTTCTTGCAACAAGCTGGCAGAAACAGCTGGGAGGCACATAAATCCTTTGCAGGCAAGAACAACTCCCAGGAAGGGCCAGTGGGCTTTACCAGATGTAGCTGCTCCCCTCAGCCCGAAGGCAAGTTTTTGTGCTGCTTTTAAGCACAAGAAGGCCAAGTGGCACAAAGACCTGCAGAGCTTGGAAATCCAGCTTGGGATGTGGGTAAAAAGAGCCGTTCAGGATTGCAACCTTTTCGGCCTGGTCAGAGAGGACGCTGCTAGCATTTATTCCCCATTTGGGTGAAAAGAGACGGATACTTTTCTGGACCATCATAATCGCCACATTCCATCAAGAGCTGGGTGGCTGCGACACCTTTGGGCAGGAATTGGTTTGGTGGTTTTTGAATAACTTGCCTCCCATCCTAGCTGGGAATCATTTACAGGCATCTGCATTAAAACAGCCTCGCTCAGATTTGATGCAAGTGGACCCTGTTTATAAGCAAACCAAAGTTGATGTATAGATAGCCGTTATTAAAATACAGAGTTTTGTCGTCATCCTGTGTCAAATGCTTTGGCTGCCGTAAAAAAATTGTGGCTTGTCGCCCAATGGAGAAAAAAGTAATCAAGATCAGAAGCAAGGTCACGGGATTGGGAACAGGTGTTCAAAAAAGCTGGTGGCAACCACAGCTATGCTATCCAAGGCCCACCTCTTTTTGACAAGCATTGCTCAGTCATGGTCATCTTAACCAAATGTGCAGGTACCTGTAGCTGTGTTTGCAAGACAGAACTGCCCTTGGTTCAAAATCAGCACCTTTTCCGACTTCAAATTACCTGTAAGTTTCTGAGCTGTTAACTGAAAAGGTGCTACCAGAGTTGATTTTTATTCCCCCACTGCAAACTAACCTAGTTCTACTCTTAGGTCTACCTATGCTTGGTTTGTTTAATTCAGTTTTCTGAGTTAGCTCAAAACAGATCCATAGCTGACTACATTGGCTGGTTATTTAGTCGATTAATTTAAGGCAACAGTGTGGAATGACTACCATAGGTCCAAATAAGAACAAAATTGTTTTTTCTTTGTAAGGTGGGCGCACAGGAAAATAACTTTATGAATGAAAAAGAGATCTTCCAGAGACTTGGTCGTATGCATTGCGGGCACATAAGGGGAAACTGAGGCTGCCATTCTGCAGATCCACTATTGGGGCTCCAGGGCATGGCAGAATAAGCGGATCTTTTCCCCAAATGCCAAAGCAGTGCAAAGAGTTGCCTCTGGATTGCCCCCATCCCCAGCATATCCCTAACTTGGCTGCTGAGCCACTTGAGCCCCCAAAGGCAGAGCATCTAAACTATGACAAGCCGTTCTGCTCAGCGGGTGCAGAGTTTGGACCAGTCGTGGCAAGGCACTGGGAGGCAGCAGACTGGCCAACCGGTGTCTGAAAGGCTACTCCTCTGTCTGCGAGAGGGAGAGGAGGAGATGGGCATCTTGGATAAATGGCTGCATTAATCACACGGATGAGTTTTCAGGGCTGTGGTTAAAGCAGCGTTCCAAAGCAGGAATTCCGTCACCACACACAAACACCCACCATTTCCCTAGCACCGAGCACTTGCATCCTCCCCAAATGAGGACTGAGCCAGCATTGGATTCACAGGCTGCTCAGAAACGCCCCTCCCTAACCCGAGATGCAGAGGCTGGCAGCCCAGCCTAGTTATTTGGAAGGCTCCAAAACCAACATCCAGACTAGCCGGCATTTGTAGCTAATCAAGTCTTTATTGATGTACAAACACGGTGGCCTTAAAAAAAAAAACCAACTCTGAGACAAGAGTTCCTTGCAGATAGGTTGTGTGCTGAAGCAGCAGCTTCCCAGTTGGAAAAGGGCAGAACTGGGGGGTGGGGGAAGCTGATGCTCCCATGGGGGGCTTCAGGCCAGGACCCATCTACTGAAGAAGACCTGCGGAGTTCAGACAAGCAGATTTCCCCAGCAAAGTCTGCCAAGATGCCTTGCAAAGCCAGGAGGGTTTTCTGTCTCTCAGCCATCGGTGTCCGGATGAGTCCAAGGCTTTTAGGCACTAAACTGGCTGAGACGGGGCAGAGGGCAAGGCCGAGCTAAGCCCCTCCATGGTCACATCGCGAGTGTAAGGCACTCTGAAGAGGAGGAGGAGCAGTGGCGGCTTCCTCAGCTTCAGGCCATGTGGAAGTAGCTGCCCAGGGAAGCTTTTTCGGCTTTCGTAAATGATCACGACGTATTAATAACAATGATCTTTCCCTCCATCGATTTGGGAGGTGAATTCTAGAAAGAAACCCAAGATCCAGGGCGGAGGGGCAAATTCAACGCCAAAGTGGAGGAAAGGTTCCTAAAGTGCATTGGAGAATGGCAAAGGAGGAAGGGGCTGCAAGGGAAGGAGGGCAGCAGAGGGACTTGAGTCTCCCAGCATTTCCCCAAAAGGCAGGAGCAGCTAAGCCAGAAGGCAAAGAAACACGAGAATTGCACGGAAGAGTTTCTGGAAAGAGAACGTCAGCCTGGACAGACATACACGGAGAAGCTTGGTAGGCAATGCAAAAAGTGAGGAGGGGGGCAGGGAAGTCTTCACTCAAAACTCTTTCAAGGCTGATGATGGAAAAGGCAATGAAGGAGCAGATCTCTTTGGCACAAGGACGAAGGGGGAAGAGCTTTGATAGGCAAAAAACAGACCTCCTCAATGGGGATAGGTGGCGGGAACTGTAGTGCAAACCCAACCCGAGGGGCACCCACTGGGAAGGCCGGTGGTCCCTCTCTGATCCTCCTGCCCCGTCTTCTCCCAGGTTCCCAACCTGCAAGGCAGTGGCCAGCTCTTCTGCCCCTCTTCCCAAGCAGACCAGGCCAGCCTTCAGGGTGCTGCAGCCCAGCCAGCTTGAAAGGAAGAGGCACAGAGAGGATGAGGGTCTCCGGGCAACCCCTGAGCTATTCTCAGCAGGCCCTGCTGGGCTCCAGTCGGTGCTGCTTCCAAACTGCCCTTGTCCCCGGGAGCCTGAAGATGCCACCCTGATTCGTCAACAAGGCCTGAGCAGACTCTCGGGATGAGACAAAAGTCCCCGTAAAGGGAATTTTTCACAAAGAAGAAGTTTGGAAAACGCTCTTCCCTACTGCTCATCCCAGGATGGGAAACTGGCAGGTTCAGAGGTGCAGGTGCTACACACACCTTGACTGGCAGAGAGGAGAGATCACAGGTAGAACAAAGGAAGGGCAAGGAGAAGAGCCTACCAAAATGTCTCCGGCAGCCAATGAAGAGAACTTTGGAACAGAATCACTTTCCCCAACTTCTCCTTCCCAGCCTTCTTCATCCAGAGGGAGCCTAAAAGAGGAGGATTAGAGCGAACTAACTGGCTAGGAGGGAAGAAGACCTACAAAGTGGTCGTTTATTCCTTTTTCTTTTTTTTAAAAATTTGATTTATATGCCGCCCTTCTCCGGAGACTCAGGGCGGCTTACAATGTGTTAAGCACTGGGGAGAGAAGAGGCTAGGTGTCCAAAAGAGCCAGTCTTCCTGGCCAAGAATTGGTGAGAGACCCAACCCCCCCACCCCCCCTGTGGGTGGGTGGCTGGGATAGGAGAAAAAGAGGCAAAGCGTTAAGCCTGCCAGAAGCACCACAAGAGGACTTCATCACTGCTCATCTGGACTTCCCGCCAAGCAAAAAGCTGCACTGCTGTGGCCTTTTGGGTTTGTGGCAGAATCTTGGTGGGCCTTTGGAGCTCCAAAAATGATGGGGAAGGAAGCCTCCAGGTGGGTTGCTGAATTGCCCGACCTCATGCTGATGAGATGATCACCAGGGTTGGGGGCTGCAGGGCTGGCATAATTTTGGGCCAAATACGAAGTTTTTGTGGGGATGAGGGGGAACAATGGTTAGATCCCAAAGCGAGCTGCATGTTGGATCAGCCTTAAAAATTATGGAGAAAGCTGCTTACCCCAAAGTCTCAAACACCCCCCGACCCCCTCCCACCCCCCCGTCTATTGCACAAGCTGCAGATATGCAAGGAAACGGCTTCCTCCAGCCCGGCTGCCTTGCAGTCTCTCATTATCTCCCATGTCTGTGCCGAGAATCCTGGGAGTTGAAGTCCACGTCTCTGGAGGGCACCCAAGAAGGAGTTGGCCATGACAGGACAACAACTCGAGAGGCAGCAGAACCAAAAGTAGCTCTCCTGAAATAGGTCCTGAAGAGGGAGCAAAGGGCTGCTAGGAGGAGATGAGTAACATCAGGCGGCTCTATTCCTATCTGAAGGACTTCCTGAGCGTCCCATAGATTGATGCAGATGCCTGCCAAAACCACCAAGAGCCTCTTGCTAACAGAATGGCCCGTCTCCTATGCTGGAGATGAAGATGAGATAATCCTCTTGCCATTTCTATTGACCCCTCTTGAAGGACCAGAATGTTTTCATGTTAGCAGGTGCCCATAGCAAGCAACAGGTCTCCCTCTGCAGGCCATTCCAGATCCCAAGGGGTCCCGCCAAATTCCCCAGACCTTGAACTCTCCATGACGGCTGAGGGACCCCAAGGAAGTTTCTGCTTGCTCCGGAAACAGAGGGTCGCACCTCGCCCTCATAAATACCCCTTTAGGCTGGGAGCTGCAGGATCACTTTGGGAAAGGAAGGAAGGAAAAGGGTTAAAATATACAAAATGTAACAGACCAGGAAGTCTTAAGAAGCCCAAAGAGCAAGGTGGGAAAAGTCTGGCGCTTCGTGGGATTATTTTCCCTGGAAGCCGCTGAATTCCATCTCGTCCTTGCGCCGGCGGGAGGTGAAGAGGGAGCTGAAGGGGTACAGTTTGGCCTTGGCTTGGAAGCGCTGTCCCGCAATGTCAATCTCGTATTCGCCCCGGTTGACAAAGTCTGGGGTGACCAGCTGCTCCTTGCCGGTCTCGGGGTCCAGGTTTTGAACGAAGCCCAGGCAGACATGCCGCTCCAGTGTGTAACTGTAAGCGCTGCTGGTGGTCTTGCCCACGTAGCAGCCGTTGCGATAGATGGGTTCCCCCCACCAGGGCCACAAGTCCAGGTCGGTGTTATGGTCTTCCAGGATGAACATGGTGAAGCGCTTGTAGACCCCTTCCTGCTTCTGAGCCATCAGCGCGTCCCTCCCAATGAAATCCATGCCCTGACGAGAGAGAGAAAGAGAGAGAGATGTCAGGAGATGGGATTCAACCCACTTCAACTCTTTTGTCTACTTACTGCTGGGAAAGATCCACTTGGCCAGCAACCCACCGACAAGCGTTTTAACAAACTGCATTATTGTTTGGTTCGGTGGCTGCCGTGCCTCAGATAGAAAGTCCCTACAGAGAGTGGTGAGGACAGCGGAGATTATAGGAAGCTCGCTTCCTGTTATTCAGGATGCTGCTTATAAGCGCTATGTGCTTAGAGCTCAAAGCACTGTTAGAGACCCACGCACCCACTTTACAGTCTGTTTCTGTTGCTCCCCTCTGGGAGGAGGTTTCAAAGTATTTCTAGCTCAACTACCAGATTCTGTAACACCTTTGTTCCCCATGGCATCCGTCTGGTAAACTCACAGGATTCGTTTCTCTCACCATGTACATGTATACATCCGAACTAGACTGTGTTGTTTCTCCGTGTCATATAATATATGTGGGTATATAAATAATTTTGTATTTATTTATTTAGTCATGTTTATGTAGTGTATATTGGAGGCATACCCACTGAGAGCTGTATGCAACAAAATTTCATTTTAATGTATGCCGATTTGTGTACGTTCTGTTCTGTTCTGTTCTGTTCTGTTCTGTTCTGTTCTATTCTATTCTATTCTATTCTATTCTATTCTATTCTATTCTATTCTATATTCTTTCCTCTCCTCTCCTCTCCTCATTCTATTCTATTCTATTCTATTCTATTCTATTCTATTCTATTCTATTCTATTCTATATTCTCCTTTCTCTCCTCTCCTCTCCTCTCCTCTCCTCTCCTCCTCATTCTATTCTATTCTATTCTATTCTATTCTATTCTATTCTATTCTATTCTATTCTATTCTATTCTATTCTATTCTATTCCATTCCATTCCATTCCATTCCATTCCATTCCATTCCTATTCTATTCTACTTCCTATCCTATCCTATCCTATCCTATCCTATCCTATCCTATCCTATCCTATCCTATCCTATCCTATCCTATCCTATTTCTACTCTATTCCAAAGTTGTTCGTGATGCTGAGATTTTCATACTTCTTAGAAGCAAACTGTCATGGCTGCCTCTCTCCTATCCAACCTTCAGGAACTGACGGCCTGACATTAGCGACCGAGGGAAGGGGGGAGATTGGACTGTAAGGAAGTAGGGGGGAATGAAAGCCCAGCTAAGCCTAGTGAGAAGCTTCAGCCAGCCAAGGTCAACTAACAATATACAGAGCTAGGAACCCAGCGCCTGTTTCCTAAACAATATACAAGCACCTGATTGGATGTTTACAAATAGCAGAGGGATTGCCGGGGGATGGAAGAGGAGAATTTACTTTGTATTGTTGGTGCGTAAAAACCTCAGATTCAGCTTCGCTACTTCTGTAACCCTTTAAGTTTCGGTAAGGTGTACTCTTGGCAAAGACAAACAGCCAGGGGTCTTTCTTTGCTAGACGACTGAGTGGGACGGTTGACACATACTTGACGTGAAGTTTACTTCGTATTTCTCACAAGAGCATGAAGCAAGTTAATACTGTTTTCAGGAGGTGGGGAGAGAAGGGGTGGGGAATGACAAACATTTTCCCAGGCCACCCAAAGAATCTGTGGTTGTAATGCAGAAGTTGGCTACAACTTTTTTTGGGGGGGGGGGCATGACAGTACTGGAACGGCTGGTCTGTTCCAATCCCCTAATTCTTGAAGATTAACAGCTTAAATGCTCCTGCCATGGGGGATGTTGGGCTTAAAATAAGAGCGTCCAACCTTTGCAACATTAAGACTTGTGGACTTCGACTCCCAGATTTCCCCAGCCAGCCATGCTGGGGAAGTCCACAAGTCTTGAATGTTGCCAAGGTTGGAGACTCCTGGCTGAAAGGAATAAATATCCTTAAAGTATTTTGGGGAACATAAACTGTATGTTGAGGACTCCTTTGTGCATGGCCCACTCTCAACCCACAAGCCTAACTCGGAACCTTCTGTGTTGGCACCCTAAAGGGGCAGCAACTGGAGGCAGCGGGAGGCCGACAGCCCCAGTGCTAGAAACTGGCGCCCTGTTTCTCGAGGCTACTCACTCCCACCAAGCCTGTCGTTAAGAGAGACCACCCCTCCTCACCTTGTCCAGCTTCACCCGGAATTCTCGCCCGCATTCCATAGGGGTGGTGAAAGCGTCCAGGTCTTGTCCCCAGAAGGCAAAAAACTTCTCAATGCGCAAGCTGCGGAGGGCGTAATAGCCAGAGTTCCGGATCCCATACTTCTGCCCCACACTCATCACCTCATTGTACACGTGGAGGGCATACTGCAAAGGGGGGGGAGACAGAGAGTGAGAGAGGAGAGGGGTGTTGTGGCTGCCAGCAGCCAGCAGATCTGGCAACAGATTCAGACAGTGAGGAGGTTGGGGAGGAACATGGGCCAGTCCTGGAGTCTGGAGAAGGCTCTGATTGAGGGCTCTGCGTCAGAGGTAGAGAGGGGGCCAGGGCCGTCTGACAGTTATCAGCTGCCTTCGGAGTCAGACATCAGTGAGGCAGATGAACAGCTGGAGCCTGTTCCCAGTGTGCGCATAAGCAGAGTTGCCAGACGAAGGGAACAGCTAAAGAACAAGGGTCGACTTGGGAGTAAGGCCACAGATGGACGATGAAGGGCCCCTCCCAGAGGGAATAAAAGAGGAGCGAAAGGGGAGTAGAGTTTGCAGGAGACAATTAGTTCACTTAATTGGTTCCTGACTCTCCAAGACTCCTTGCCAAGTTTTGAAGATATCGGCCTGGCAGCTCTCCAAGCCAGATAAGGTCTGTGACTGTAAATTCACCCTTGAAAGACTTTGCTGGATGTGAATGACAAGAATTCACAGTAACTTAATAAAATCGGGACAAGGAGTCTGCTTCATGCTCTTGGGAAGCCTAGGTCAGAACAAGGGGCATTTAAATAACCAGCCTGGAAACCGAAGGCTGATAGCGTTCCGTGGTCACTTGTCTCTTCAAGACGCAAGTCTTGGTCAATGACCTCCGATAACACGGCCGACGAGCTGAGCATAGACCTTGCCCAACGTGGCCTCTAAGTGCCACTTCCCCAAACAAACTTCCCTGGCTTAATTTAGGAACCTGAAAAGATGATACAGGCACCGTCTAGGCACAGGTAGTCCTTGGCTTACAACAGTTCATTTAGTGACCATCCCCTTTTGCGACCTTCTGACAAGCAAAATCAACGGGGAAGCGAAAATTCACTTAACAACCGGATGACTATCTTATCAACTGTAGTGATTCGCTTAACAAGGGTGGCAAGAAAAGTCGTAAAATGGGCCAAACTCACTTAATGAAGTTTTCACTAAAGCAAGATAAATTTGGGCTCAACTGTTGTTGTAACTCCAGGACCACCTGTACTTTTTAGTACAAAAGTTCTTAAACAAATATTGTGGATGACGTCATGCCATCTGGGGATTAGGCCCTCTTAGGTACAAGCCCCCTCCCCCCCCAACAGAGTGAAGATGGACCTTCAAACCACACGCCCCACTCACCTCGATGGGGATGTAAAGCATGAAACCGGGCTCTCCCGTGTGCGTCATACTCATGACACGGATGCCATTGGCATAGCCGACACTCATCTCCTGCAGAAAGAGGGACCAGCCAGTTTATACATCCAGGACAAAATTCCAAAGACAAAGGAAAGCTGGGGTTCACTTGACCATAGTTAAACCAGCAAGGAACAGATTTAAACTGGGGGACGACACAAACTGACATTCTGCACCAGAAGAAACTTGGCCCAGCGCTTAAGATCAAAAGGTGGGTGACTTGCAGAATGGAGGAGGGGCACACCTCTTCTCTAGTCTTAGAACGTTTTCTAGGCCAGCGTTCCTCATCTCTGGCAACTTTAAGACTAGTGGACTTCAACTCCCGGAATTCCCCAGCCAGCTGTGCCCACACTCCCCAGCACACCCCCCCTCCCCTGCACTCCTTAACTAAGCCTCCCGCCTCTTCCCACTTAACAACCTACATGGTCATGAGGTTACAGTCGCAACAGGGCCTGGCAGGATTGTTGTCGCTAAGTGATACAATCATATGGTGTCACACTTTGCAACTGCATCATTTAGCAAGGGCAATCCCAACATGAACTGCCATCATACTCAAGGATCACCCCTACCGAGGTGAGCCGTGGTGGCGCAGTGGTCTGAATGCAGTATTGCAGGCTGACTCTGCCGACTGCCAAGAGTTTGATCCTGACCAGCTCAAGGGGGACTCAGCCTTCCGTCCTTCCGAGGTTGGTCAAATGAGGACCCAGATTGTTGAGGGCAGTAGGCTGACTCTGTAAACCGCTTAGAGAGGGCTGGAAAGCACTGTGAAGCGGTATATAAGTCCAAGGGCTGTTGCTATTCCTTCCTTCCTTCCTTCCTTCCTTCCTTCCTTCCTTCCTTCCTTTCCTTCCTTCCCTTTCCTTCCTTCCTTCCTCTCACCCACCCATGGTGCACAGTGGTTAAAATGCAGTATTGCAAACTAACTCTGCCCACTGACAGGAGTTTGATGCTGACTGGCTCAAAGGTTGACTCAGCCTTTCATCCTTCCAAGGTGGGTAAAATGAGGACCCAGATTGTTGGGGCCAAGAGGCTGACTCTGTAAAACCGCTTAGAGAGGGCTGCAAAGCACTGTGAAGCGGTATATAAGTCTAAGTGCTACTCCTTCCTCCCTCCCTCCTTTCTTCCTTCCCATCCATCCATCCATGATGAGCAGTGGTCAGAATGCAGTATTGCAGGCTAACTCTGCCCACTGCCAGGAGTTCAATTCTCACTGACTCAAGGTTGACTCAGCCTTCCATCCTTCCGAGGTCGTTAAAATGAGGACCCAGATTGTTGAGGGCAAGAGGCTGACTCTGCAAACCGCTTAGAGAGGGATGGAAAGCGCCATGAAGCAGTATATAAGCCCAAGGGCTGTTGCCATGGCTACTGATTCCTTTGCACAAAGGAAAAGATGGAAGAGTAGCTACAAAAAGCCCATTTGTTCAATGAGGCATCTTATAACTGAGGCAAGCTGGCTTCCGACAAGCAAAAGCAATGGAGAAGCCTGCAAGCGAAGTTGCAAATAGCAACCGTGTGGATTCCTCACTTAATGACTGCACTGCTTCATGATGAATTAGTCCCCTACCTTACAAAAGAGGGAAGGGAAGTGTTCGGGCGTCATTGGTGCATAGGAGAGCTCCGACAGGACATCCATGGCCCGTGGGCCAATCAGATTCAAGGCTGGAGGAAATGAAAGGAGAAGAATTCAGCATCAGAGGCAACTGCAGAATAGGAAGCCTTGCCCCATTACTTCCCTCTCTCTTCTCTTTGCAGCTTCTCAGCGCAACACAAATCAGCAAAAGCTGGGAAAGGATCCAGAATCTGATATCGGATTTCATCTGGGTGAGAGGAGACCACTTAAATGGGAAAAGGGATCTTTTCCAGCCTTCCAAAACAAGCACCCAGCTCTGCCAAATGCTGAAGCCCACGTTGAGCAACTCTTCTCAGCTAGCTTTTGGGTTAGGCCTCTGGGATATGGGAACAACATCAACTGTCCACCCCATATCATGGCAGCCACGGATGGGAGAGCCGGTTTGGTCTAGTGCAGGGGTCAGCAACCTGCGGCTCTGGAGCCACATGCGGCTCTTTGGCCCTCTGCTGTGGCTTCATGTCAGGTGATTCCACCACTGGCTGGCCCCACCCCATCCCTTGCCCTCCCCTCCCAGTTACTTCTTGCCAAGCCTAAGAAGGTAAGGATGACCGTGGGGGATGGAGAAAGGGCCAGGGCAGAGACAGAGAGATACAGAGAGAGAGGGAGAGGAGGGAGAGAGACGGAGGGGAGAGAGAGAGATATGTCAAAAGGGTTTTGTGGTTCTCGGTGTTTTTTAGCAACTGGTTCTCTGCCCTAATGACCGGCTGGGTAGGCCTGGCTAGGTGGTTATGTGATTGGTGGAAGTGAGTGATGTCAAGTTGGCCACGCCCAGCCAGGTTTTGTGGCTCCCGGAGTTTTCTTTTCTGTGGGAAATGGGTCCAAATGGCTCTTTGAGTGTTTAAGGTTGCAGACCCCTGGTCTAGTGGTTAAGGCACCAGACTACAAACAAGGAGATTGTGAATTATAGAGCTGTGGTGGCGCAGTGGTTAGAGTGCAGTACTGCAGGCTAGTTCTGCTGGCTGCCGGCTGACTGCAATTTGGCAGTTCGAATCTCACCAGGCTCCAGGTTGACTCCAGGTTGGGTAAAATGAGGACCCAGATTGTTGGGGGCAAGAGGCTGACTCTGTAAACCACTTAGAGGGCTGTAAAGCACTGTGAAGCTGTACATAAGATTAATTGCTATTGCTTAGTAATAAAACCAGGCTTAATGGCAATGACGGTGAGAGGGATCTGGGAGTCTTAGTGGACAATCAGCTAAATATGAGCCAGCAATGTGCAGTGGCAGCTAAAAAAGCCAAGGCAATCCTAAATTGCATTAACAGAGGGATACAATCAAGATCAAGTGAGGTACTAACACCATTCTATAAAGCCTTAGTAAGACCACACTAGAGTACTGCATCCAATTTTGGTCACCACACTATAAAAAACCTGTTGAAACTCTAGAAAAAGTGCAGAGAAGAGCAACCAGGATGATGAGGGGACTGGAGACTAAAACATATGAAGAACGGTTGCAGGAACTGGGTATGTCTAATCTTGTGAAGAGAAGGACCAGGGGAGACAGGATAGCAGTCTTCCAATATTCGAGGGGCTGCCACAGAGAGGAGGGGGTCTCAAGCTGTTTTCCAAAGTACCCAAAGGCTAGAGAAGGAATAATGGATGGAAACTGACCAAGGAGAGATTCAACCTAGAAATGAGAAGGAACTTTCTGACAGTGAGAGCAATCAACCCATGGAACAGGAGTTGCCTTCAGAAGTTGTGGGAGCTTCATCACTGGAGGCTTTCAAGAAGAGATTGGACTGCCAGTCAGAAATGGTGTAGGATCTCCTGCTTGAGTGGGGGGTTGGACTAGATGACCTATAAGGTCCCTTCCAACTCTGTTAATCTGTTAAATGCTATAGTCCTGCTTTAGGCATAAAAGCTGGCAGGTGATTTTGGGCCAGTCACTTTCTTTCAGCCCAACGCACCACACAGAGTTGTTGTTGTGGGGCAAAGAAGAGGGAGGTGTGTTGGATATGTTCGCTGCCTTGAGTGATTTGTAAAAATAATAAGGGAGACAAATAAAGGCGCCAACTTGGATCTGCCACTCACACGCTAACCAAGAGACACAACAAGCCTTGCGTATCTGTTGTCAGATGAAAACCTATTTGCTATATTTATGGTTTTTGCTCTGAAAAATGCTAAAGGTGAAAAGGCCCAGGGGGAAACAAGTCATTGCTGAATGCCTGACTCGCTCAGTTTCAGGAACCCAGAGAGCTGAGGCTCCTCTGGATGGATGGTCATTGGCTCAGAGATTCCAACCAAGTGGACAGGGACACCGGTTCCCCTGACTGGAGATCTGTTCCAGATCAGTGTCATAGATCCCTATCGGGACATTGCCATTCTGGTGGGGAGGAGGCCTGGGTGCATTCTTTATAGTTTATAGCCTTTTTCCTGGTGTCTATCTATCCTGTACTTATCTTCTGGTTTATCTTCTTGGGAATGTAAGGGGGGGTAAGGCCATCTGTTTTGTCTCAGCTCCAAAGCCTCCAGCAATCTTATCATCTTCTCAGCCTCCTCTTCCTCCTCCTCCTCCTCCTCCTCTTCCTCCTCCTCCTCCTCCTCCTCTTCTTTTTCTTCTCCTTCTCCTTCTGACATATCCATCATCGGACATCAGTGATCATGTTGCCAATCCTATTTTTGTCAACAGCCGTATGAAAAAGTGCTGCTGAGTTTTGTCCAAACTGGTCCCTTAGGTTTTGAAGCCATGATGTTCTTCTTCTGCCTGGACCTCCTTTGCCTTCAATCTTTCCCTGGAGGATTAAGTGAAGGATGCCGTATTTTTCTGGGTATTGCATCACACGTCCAAAATATTCTAACTTTCGCTTTTTAATGGCTTTGATGATTTCCCTTGGCTTTCCCAGGCGGCTTATGCCCTCCTCATTTGTGATTTTGTTAACCCACGTAACAGTCGTCTGTAAATCCACATTTCAAATGCTTCCAGTCTCTGAGTGGTTTTCTGTCAGAGACCAACTCTCTACTCCGTAGAGCAGGATAGAAAAGACAAGCCTGATTTTCAGTCTTAGGCTTATATGTCGTGACTGCAGAAGATCTTTTTTATTTTGAAGAATGCTGCTCGAGCTTTCTCTATCCTTGTCTTTACTTCACTGATCATGTCCCAGCTTTTATATAAATTAAAACCGAGGTAGGTGATCTTTTCAACTTTTTCTAGTGGTATTCCTTCCAAATTTATCAGTGGTAAATTAATGGGTTGTTTGCTGACGACCATGATCTTGGTTTTTGAGGTGTTAAGCTTCAAGCCATATTTTTCAGATATTTCTGAGACTCTGTTGATGAGGAGCTGAAGGTCTTCATGCTTACTGGCAAGCAGAACTGTATCATCAGCATATCTTAAATTGTTGATCTGAACACCATTTACTTTGAGGCCAGCATCAATGTTTTCCAGTGCTTTGTTGAAAATTGACTCAGAGTAGATATTAAATAACAGCGGAGACAGAATACAGCCCTGTCTGACCCCTCTTTGTATTTCTGCATCATCTGAGTATTTTTGGCCTAGTCTCACATTTGCTACCTGATGCCAATATAGATTCTTTATGATTCGGATGTCTTTGTCATCTAGTCCCACTTGTTTCAGGATTTGTAATAGTTTGCTGTGTCTTATTTTATCAAATGCTTTTTCAAAATCGATGAATCACATGTAAACACTGTGACTGGCATCTCTACAGTGCTGTACAAGAACTTGAATGCTGAATAGGGCATCTCGTGTACCAAGATTGTTTCTGAAAAAAAAATTCTTCTCAGCCTGCAATTCTCAAAACAATTTTGCGCCTGCGGATTGGCTTATTCAACACCAGTCTGAGGGGAGGGGTTTCTAATTACTTTAACCTAATGGAATTGCGTGGGAATCCTCAGATCCTGCTTCCTTTGTCGTGCTATCACTTTCCTTCAATAAAAAGTTCCTTTTGAAATGGTAATTGTTTCAAGAGTTCTGCTTTCTTGAATGGAGAGGAGAGGCAGGCCCGGCAAATAAAACAGCAGGCCAGCCTGCAGAATCTGAGGTTCCCTTGGAGCAGTGTTTCTCAACCTTGGAAGCTTGAAAATAGGTGGACTACAACTTCCAGAATCCCCCAGCCAGCGCTGCTGGCTGGGGGATTCTGGGAGTTGAAGTCCACCCATCTTCAAGCTACCAAGGTTGAGAAACACTGCCTTGGAGAAAGACTCCGCCCTGGTCCAGAGGAGTTCCAGACCACACCAGCTGGGCCAGCAGCTGGCAGCTCCCCTCACCTGTGTATTTCCAGGTTACGTCTTCCAAGAAGAGGTTGCTGTCTTTGGGCAAGTGCTTCTTCAACCAGGCCCAGCAGTGAACCTGCTGGTCTGTGGGGGAAATCATGAAGAAGCTGCAGTATGAAACACAGAGAAGCGCATTTAAACCCAAAAGGGACCATTTTTATACAAAGCTTTCCGAAAAGATGCTGTCAGATAACACTTCATTATTTATTCCATCAGGCAGAGTGTTATGCCCAGGATGCTGAAGATGCTGCTCCAGCAAAAGTCTGTGGAATGTCAGCCTCAGGAGAGAGACAGGAATCACCTGTAGCACCTGGTCAAGTCAGGCACCACCTGAGCACCTGGAACAATTGGACAATGTAAGGCTTCCCAGTCCCTGCCTCCAGAGAGGAGGACAGAGATGTTCTATAACAGGGGTCTCCAACCTTGGCCACTTTAAGACTTCAACTCCCAGAATTCCTCAGCCAGCAAAGAACTCTGAGAGTTGAAGTCCACGAGTCTTAAAGTGACCAAGGTTGGAGACCCGTTTTCTATGAGGTTTCTTCTTATTTATTTAGATTTTCTATTTCTTAACTGCCCTTCTTCAAAAGCAAGGGCAATCCCAAAATGAACTCCGGGAGGGAGAGGGGTTCTTGCCAAGCAAGGGAGTAAATCTCTTGCTTAATGACAGCTGATTCCAGCTTGATTTTAAGAGGCAATTCTTGACCCATGTTTCCTTTGCCAGAAACATCTATCTGATCTCTGGCACCTTATGTGGCATCTGTGCAGCTTCTGCTTGTGAAATTCTGGACTAGCTGACAACCCTGATCCAGCTCTTGGATCCTTGGACTGATTTTGGACTATTCCTCTGCACTCTCCTTTTAAAAAGCTAACCATTCAGGGCAAGCATTTGTCAGAGACTCTGCTTTGATTTGCAGGCTTTGGCTGTTGTTATCTCTTAGACCTTGAGTAAAATATGAATTACATAGCAAGTGTGTGTGAGTCAGTATTTGGAACCAGGAGTAGGACACAAAGTGTGGCAGCACCTTTTCCAAATAACCCATTTTATTAAAGAGCATAACTGTCTTAAGAGCCAGCCAGTGAAAATGGCCAGTCAGGTGTTCATTATCCAATTCTGATCACAACAGGTTTCTATTTCATTTAGCAACTTTCTTGTTTGTCTCATTTCTGGAAAGGCACCTTCCATACAATGAGCACCTTATTTATTCTACAGTATTCAAGGCCCCGGTTGTGTATATCACACTATCAAAAGACTGCTTAACCATAATTTATCAGATAAACCACAGGTGACTGGCCTGACACTATAGGTTACATGTGTCAGGTCCTATACATCGGGACGTTGCCATTCTGGTGGGGAGGGCCTGGAGGCATTCCTCACTTTATAACCTTTTTCCTGTTGCCTGCTTATCCTGTACTTTGATTTACCTTCCAGGAAATGCAAGGGGGGAAGGGAATGAATTGAGGGCCATCTGTTTTGTCTCAGAACCGGAGCAACTTATCACCTTCTCAGCCTGAAGTTGTCAAAACAACTTTGCACCTACGGATTGGCTTGCCCTGCACTGGACTAGACTGAGGGGAGGGCTTTTTATCTCTTTTAACCTAACGGAATTGTGCGGGAATCCTCAGATCCTGCTTTGTCTTGCTATCACTTTCCCTCAATAAAAGTTTCCTTTTGAAATGCCAATCCTTTCAAGAGCTCTGCTTTCTTGAGTGAAGAGGGGGAGGCAAGTCCTTACAACATCACTGATCAGGGTTTAAGGAAAAATAACCAGGAACGCACAACACATTTTGGCTAAGCAAAGATAGAAATTCCTGGACTGTCTTCTGAATCTGTTTATATGAAATTAAAGTATGGAATGGGGAAAGATGCCTCCTCTTTCAAGTTAAACTCGGGTGATTCAATTTCTTTTTGTGCCTGCACCCAAGCAGACAAATGTTATATAGAAACCAAGGGAAATCACAGCGATGGTCCACTAATATCATGAGTTGTGACATAATCATGCAAGTGATGCCACATTGAGTTTATCATTTTGACATCATCATGGCTTCAACCAGATTCTGGGTATGGATGGCAAGGTCACCAAAGGCCCCAGAGGCCGAAGCCAGCGAGTATCCAGGCTGTAGCTGGGAGACCCTACCTGCGTTTGTTCAGGCGGGCTATGCTGCAGTCGTTCTCATACCCTCCGTTGTGATTGAGCATCCCCGTATGCACAATATGCCCAACTGGCACATCCAAGTCGTTGGAGAAGAGATACTGCAGAATTTCCAAAGCTTGTCCTCCCGTGGACTGCAGCAAGTGGGAGAAGGAACACAAAACGTAAGAACAGCTTGACAGACGTGGCCTAGACACATCAGACACCTGCATTTTAGTACTCGCTGTGGCCAATCTGATGCCTATCAGTTGCCTGCGAGAGGAGATGGAGACATGGTGTCTCCTGGCACTATTCTGCTGTAGAGGCATTTGGAGCCAAACCGCCTCTGATCCAGAGATAACTTGGTACCTGGATATTAACAACCACCAAGGTACCTGTTCAGTGTATCTATGAACAATTTAAATAGAAGTTCCACATCCAGAGGAAACATATTGTCAGCGTTCCAGAAAAAAACCCAACTCCAAGTAAAGACTCTGAAGCAAGCATTTTTTTTAAAGTTCTATTTACTAGAATAGGTAAACTGGCACATCTGGGAAAACCCGAATCTGAGAGGTCCAGGTTTTTCCCTTAGTAAATCAAAAAACCCCAAACCATCCCCTCACTCCTCAGTCAATCACATGCTCCAATCAACCGCATCCCATCTCAATAAAGCACTCTGACCACTCCTTCTCCAGATGCAGGATCACCCTGATCTTGACCGACAGGAAGAATGCTATTATGTCTACAGACAACCCCTCTACTAACCTCCCCCCCCACTTCCCCACACAGAAGAAAGTGGCAGCATGGAAGCTTCCGGCCTAATATGGCTTCCAAAGCTGACACCTATTTGTGAACCACTGGTTCCCAGGAACAAGAACAAAAAGAAACAAAAAGGAAGGAGCTAAAACTATGAAAAGTTCACATGTTACACAAAGTTAGGACTTGCAATTAAAAGTTTTACCCTGCCCCAAATTGGTTGGATTGTAAATGACACTAAGCAATAAAGACTTACTACGTACATGCCCCACTGCTTACATTGACAATATGCTACTAAGCCAAAGTCAAAGCTTAAAAACTTATGTCTGAAATCAGGTCTCTGTGTCAGACCTGCATCAACTTGGGCTTCTAAGTAAAAACGATCCTTAACTCCATTTATTGAGACAGGTATAGTTTACTAGAAGTCAAGTGAGTTACAGAAGCGTAAAGCCAGAGCTGAGATTTCGCGCCAGACTTTTGCCAGTTAACTTTCCTCCCTTAGTCCCTTCCCATGGTGTGTCTCTCATGGTCCAATCAAGTTTAAAAGAGATGTTTCGGAAACGGTCACTCTACGGGTTGGCATTCTTTTCCCAGGGAAACGACCTTGGTTCTCACAGTTTTCAGTTTTCCTTTCCCCCAGGCCAGTGGTGGGTTTCAAAATTTTTTACTACCGGTTCTGTGGATGCGGCTTGGTGGACGTGGCATGGCTTGGTGGGCGTGGAAGGGGAAGGATACTGTAAAATGTCCATTCCCACCCGACTCCAGGGGAAGGATACTGCAAAATCCCCATTTCCTCCCGATCAGCTGGGACTCGTGAGGCAGAGAATAGATGGGGGCGGGGCCAGTCAGAATTTTTACTACCGGTTCTAGTCAAAATTTCCGCTACTGGTTCTCCAGAACTGGTTAGAACCTGCTGAAACCCACCTCTGCCCCAGGCCCTCGCCTGCCCTTCCAGCTTCCCCCCTTCATGGCAGACTGCCAGGGAGGTGGCACTTCTGACACCCTGCAAACAAACACGGAATGCTTCCAAATGAAAAGGAAAGCTCTGGAGGAAGATGCACTTACGCTTATCTCGAACTTGGTGAAAGAAGACATGTCAATGACACACACGGCCTCTTTGCAGCACTTGACCTCTGCCCCCACAATGTCAAACCAATCCGGCTTGTAAAACGTCTTGCTCTGATCCAGAGCCAGCAAATCTGCAGGAGAGGAAGCACAAGGCTCAGGATGGGCCCCCAAACGCGGCTCTAGGGTTTCGGGGTGCATCCAGGGGGAAATCACTCTCACCTTTCCCTGGAGGGACAAAGAATTTTGCCCTCTCAAAGCCATGCTTCTCCATCCATCTCGCTCCCTGGGCGTCCAGCCTGTCGTAAAGGGGAGACGTGCGGAGTTGCCGGCCAGTCTGGAAATCCCAGCGGGGAACTTTTAAGTCGTAAATCAGGGCTGGAGAGGGGCCACAGAACCACAGAATCAATGTGCTGGAAGGGACACAGCGCGTTATCTTCCCAATCCAGACCGAATATCCTTTTACAGTCACCCAAACACCCAGATCAACCTTGAACAGTATAAAAGACCACCAGGATATCAATCCAAACTCAAAAAACTCCTTGTAGGGAATGACTTTTGGATTTGGAACAGTTCCTTCTGTTCTCTAAAACATGAACTAAATGTGTGGAGTCCTCAGTGCTCTCCAAAGTTGGTTGCTTCCTTCCAGACCAGTGTTTCTCAACCTTGGAAGCTTGAAGATGGGTGGACTTCAACTCCCAGAATCCCCCAGCCAGCAGTGCTGGCTGGGGGATTCTGGAAGTTGTAGTCCACCCATCTTCAAGCTACCAAGGTTGAGAAACACTCTTCCAGATGTTTCAAAGCCTGAGTAGGTAACATCTTCCCAGCACAATGCTCAGTGTCTCAGAGAGCACCAAGGACTCCACAATTCAATCCTGAGCTACATTTTTTTTTCTTCTTCTACAGGTACTTTTCTAATCTCTTAAAACAACTTAGGTAGTCAGGAAGAAAAGCATGTACCATATCTTTCAGAGTATAAGATGCACTTCCCCCCCCCCTTAAAAGAGGCTGAAAATTTGTGTCTTCTACTCAGAATGTAGCTTTTTTGAAGCTTCTTTTCAGCCCTAACGAGGCGCTAGCAAGTGAAGCCATCTTCCCCGCTTCGCCTGCTTTTCTCATTGCTTCTCTCTCCGACGATCAGCTGTGCTTTAGAAGCTGTTTTTTATCCTGAACCAGGATAAAAAACCAGCGAACTAATGTGCTGAAGCTGACCGGACTAAGGACGCTAGCCAGATGAATTCCTGATAGGCAGAAATTTCTTTCCCCTATTTTCTTTCCCAAAAACTAAGGTGCGTCTTATACTCTGAAAAATACAGTAATTTCTTTCTTCCTCTCATTATGACCTATGGTGTAGCATTACTTTTATAATAAGGTTTCCACTGACTAGGTCTAGCTTTAAAGGGAAAATTGAAGCCAGGATGGTAAGCTGGTCTGAACAATTGAAAGCAAAATATGGCAGGGGTGGGTTCTAAATTTTTTTACTACCGGTTCTGTGGGCATGGCTTATTTTGTGGGCGTGCCTTGATGGTCATGTGACAATTCTTTAGGATTTAGCAGAGGTACTGGTCTACCAGGCTTTTAACTGATTGCAGAGCTGTACCGGTCTACCCATTTGTTTTTGCAGGTACTGATCTACTCATTTGTTTTCTTTTAACACTGATCAGCTGTAGGGCGGCCCTTTGAAGCCCCGCAGCAAGAGTTTAAACAGTTTTTTTCCCTCTAGTCATCAGCTGGGACTCAGGAGGCAGCAATAGATTGGGGGTGGGGGCCAAATAAAAGGTAAGAATAACACGCCCCCCCCACCCCCAATAGAATGGGGGTGGGGGGCGGGCAGAACTGGTTCGGTGATGTCATATCGTCACCGCTACCGGCTCGGCGGAACCGGGTGGAACCCACCACTGAACTACGGTTAATATGAACCTTCCTAAAAACAGGAGGAGAATGTGATTCCCCAAGAGGTTCCAAACCACTGAAAAGGCCAAGAAGAGTTTTGTTTGCTCTTTCTTGGCGATTCAGTAATAATAATAAGCAAAGTTAACACCAATAGCAATAGGCGCCTTGGGTGCAATCTTGAAACATCTGGAGCACCACTTGAACACCATCAGCATTGATAAAATCACCACCAGTCAATTGCAAAAGGCAGCTGTAATCAGAACAGCTTACATCCTGTGGTGTTGTGGCCTGTGCAGCTAGTAGCTGATTCCAACAGCGAGGAGGCTGGTGTGGTGCTGCGCCAGCAGCCTGTGCAGCTGGCGCTTGAGTCGGACAGTGAGGAGGCTGGAGAAGATGTGGTGCCAGAGGCAGGGATTCAGCCAGGGCCTTCAGAACCTCCAGAAGCTCCTTTAAATGAAGAGGAAGAAGAGGAGGAGCCTCTTCTCGATGCACGGGCGCACAGAGCTGCCAAAAGGCAGGAGTGGCTCCTCAGGAGGAGGTCTCCTCGAGAGTAAGGCTTGGGGCTAATTGGCCACTCCCTTAGCCTATTTAAGGAGGAACGCCGCTTGCAGCAAGCTGCAGGAAACAACTTTAGTTTTTTTTTTTATTTTTATTTATATGCTGCCCTTCTCCGGAGACTCAGGGCGGCTTACAATGCGCTAAGCAATAGCCTTCATCCTTTTGTATATTTATACAAAGTCAGCTTATTGCCCCCACAAACTGGGTCCTCAATTTACCTACCTTAGAAAGGATGGAAGGCTGAGTCAACCTTGAGCCTTGGCGAGATTCGAACCTGCAGTAATTGTAGGCATCTGGTCTTAATAACCAGCTTAATAACAGGGTGCCTTAGACCACTGTACTACCAAGGCTCTTGGTAGTTCGCTAATCATCGTTGGGATGTCTCTGCAAACCTTGTTTCTGGGCTTTCTACCAACTCCAGTTAAGTCTCTGAATATCTTATCTGTGGAATTCTGGCAGGCTGTTAAGAACGCTTTATTAACAGACGGCATTTGCATTATTTGAGTAAACTAAGTTTTGTTCAGAGTTTGTGTGTGCTGTGTTCTTTGGGATCCGTAGCTGGGGCAGAACATGTGGCAATGCCATCAAGCAGCAACATTTTCCTATCCCAGACCTTTGGGAAGGACCTGATGGGTGGACAAAAATGCCAAATCCAGTCTAGGCATTTGGCTGACTGTGCAACCAAGGAAAATACTAAATCAAATATTTCCACCCATGGAGAAACCACTTCCAAAGTCTTGAGCTTCATGGCATGGCTGTCCTGAGAGCCTCTAACGAATGAACCACCAGCTGCCAGCCAGGACACGAGCTCAACCCCTCGCCCACCTCCATGAGCCACGTGGCGAGTCCTGGGAACACGAGAGGCAGGCAAAACTTCAGGGCTACTTACGCATCACTTCCATGACCCGATGACGGAGGAAGGTACGGCTGCTCTGCAGAGCTCCAAAGCGCTTCAGGTCCAGGGGCCAGACGTTGTCGGAGGGGTAGCCGTTCACCATCCATTCGGCCAGGAACCTGTTATCAAAAACACACAGAGCTGGAAAGGGCTGCGAAGGCCAACAAGTCCGTCCATTTGCAGCACAAATTGCATCAAAGAGCCTGTTGTGGTCCACCAGCAGCCAGCGGAGTCGGAGAGCGATGAGGCTGAGGAAGGTCCGGATGAGGCTCTGCGTTGGAGGCAGAGATGGGGCCAGGGCCATCAGGGAGGGATGTGCGGACTCCGGAGCCTCCAGAGGCTGACAGTAGAGAGGCAGAGGAACAGGAGGAGCCTGTTTCTAGTGCACGTATGAGAAGAGCTGCCAGAAGGCAGAAGCAGCTAAAGCAGAGAGGACGACTCGGGAGTAAGGCCAAGAGATGATTGGCCCCTCCCAGAAGGCTTAAAAGACCAGCAATGGCTCTTGGCCTCTTTGCTGGAAAATAACGTTGATAAACTTGGTTATCATCTTGCTCGGCATCCTCTGCTTCTGAACTTTTGCCAAGTTTGCCTAATTATACCAAGGTTGGTGATAAGACTTTATGAAGACTTTGTTTGATTTAGTTTGGACTACACTGAGAATGAGTTAATTCTCAGCTGTTCTAATAAAGTCTGTGTCAGCACTTCAACCTGCATTTACTCTAGTGCTGACATAAGAAGGAGAAGCGAAGGCATCTGAAAAGGGACATTTGACTTTTCACCTACTTATTTTCCCTGGAGATAATATCCCCTAGGAGATGGGATGGGAGGGGGGAAATTCCTTTGAGCTGGAGTAGATTAGGGGTACAATGACTTGGAAGATGGCCAATGAGTGCAGGGGAGTGGGGAACGGAAAGGGAGGGTTTTGGGGCTGGAAGTCAGTGTTGGCTTCGTTTGGAGTCGGGTTAGAATGTCGTGCTTAATAAATAGGAGTTTTTCTTCAAAGACTTTGTTTGAAATGCAATTTATTTGAGACGACCTCGAAACTTGACAGTCTGTTTGTTTTCGAACTGTTTGCGTCGATTACTACCTACTTGGGCCTGGGTCACAACAGAGCCCCCCACCCACCCCCCGGACAGGTGGCTTTCGAATCTCCTGAAGATATCCAGAAAATCCATCACTCCCGAGTCACAGATTCCAAACTGCACAATGAGAAACGCGAGGAAAACCATAAGAGGAACTCAGAAAAGTAACTCATAGGTCACAAGCCTAGCATTTGGGGCAGCAACCCAGAGTGGTTAGGAGTGCCACTTTCTGCAAAGAAGGATAAACAGGAGTCTTGTTTGCAGAAACTAGAAAAAAAGGAAAAGGGACGTACCCACGATCTAGAAAAAAACATGTGATTCAACTACTTTGACAACTGAAGTCAAATAAATGAAAGAAAAACAGTATGCGTATGTAAAAATAGGAATGTTCGTTGTAACTACCTTTACATCTCATAAACAAGTCCATAAAACTTAACTAGCTTTTTATTATAAAAAAAGGATTGCGAAAGCCTCTTCTCAGTATAGTGATGTAGGACAATGGCCCCCAACTTTTTGGGCATCGGGGACCGGTTCCGTGGAGAGAGATTTTCCTGCAGGCCGGAATGGGTGCGATTTTGTGTACTGCCTGCATCCCGCGGATGGGGCTTTGCTTGTTTGCACGGACCAGTTTCTGGCATGCCGCAGCTTGGTGTCAGCCCACGGACCGGGGATTAGGGACTCCTGGTGTACGATATTAGTCTTTCAGTGAGCTAAGGGACGCAGTGGCTCAGTGGCTAAGACGCTGAGCTTGTTGATCGAAAGATCGGCAGTTCAGCGGTTCGAATTCCTAGTGCCGAGTAACGGGGTGAGCTCCCGTTACTTGTTCCAGCTTCTGCCAACCTAGCAGTTCGAAAGCACGTAAAAAAAATGCAAGTAGAAAAATAGGGACCACCTTTGGTGGGAAGATAACGGCGTTCCATGCGCCTTTGGCATTGAGTCATGCTGGCCATATGACCACGTCTTCGGACAGCGCTGGCTCTTTGGCTTTGAGACGAAGATGAGCACCGCCCCCTAGAGTCGGGAACGACTAGCATGTATATGCAATGGAAACCTTTACCTTTTAAGTTAAGGGGAAAAAAGAAAGGAGTCCTTGCGGATTTTACTCCGTTCAAATATAAGGAGGGATAGCGCTCATCTTTGTTTCAGTAAGTTAAGGACTGAAAAAAATCATTTTCCTTCAGAGAAGCCACCCGGAGCTTTCCCTCCCTGCTTCCTTCCTCGACAGGAAATGAGTCCACTTACTTGCCTGCACCACCTCCAAAAGATGTCCCAGCCGCATTCATTCCTGCTAGGACGAAGTAGCCCTGTCTGGTGGGGGATTCTCCCATGATGCACCGCATGTCTGGAGTAAAGGATTCTGGGCAATTCACCAGCTGCACTATCTCCAGGGCCTCCATATCCGGCATCCTCCGCAGCAAGGCACTCAGCAGTGGCTCTAATCCCCCCAAGAAGAGCAGACAATGATCTCCATCAATGGCAGAGAAAAAGGGTGGACAGTCACGTCTCCTCTCCCACCACCCCAAGAGAGTGCCAGGCCTCCAACAGTGACACTTTCAGGTGTTTCCTAGAGCAAAGCATGTTTCTAGCCCAGCCTGCTTTCTACAGGTAGTAATTGAAGCATAAAGAGAGCAAGAGATGATGGATAGAAAGAATTGCCTTCTAAATATTAAAGTAGCTTGACTGTAAGTTGGAAAGCAGAAATAAATTAGATAGGGGATTTTTTTTTCTATAGAAGAAAAAAATAATAGAAAGATTAAAGGTTTATAGATGCTCGGCATTTTTTAATGTTACGTTTAAATAATATAAAGAGGATTGTTTAAATTTGATAAATGTGAAAGAATATTAATATTATGGTAAATTAGATCAATATGAATGATGCTCAGAACTAACACTGTTCACACATAATATGGATGTATACTTATACATACATACATACATACATATATATATATGTAATGTATATTTGGAAAAGACCTGAATACACCAAGCGTATTCGGGTCTTTTCCCGTGTAAGATTGAGAGTATCTTGGCGACGTTTTGACGAGGTCCCACTCGTCATCTTCCGGCTGGTGTCTTCGGCTTCGTGCCTGTGCGAGCAAAGTATGATCGGAGATGCCATCTCTCTATAAATATTGGTGGGGAGATGTGAAGTGCTGGCTCTGTTGCTGCAGGCGGGTTGATTGGCTGTTTTGTTACATCTTGTTTAGTTGATATTAGTATTTATAGAGAGACGGCATCTCCGATCACGCTTTGATTGCACAGACACGAAGCCGAAGACACCAGCCTGAAGATGACGAGTGGGACCTCGTCAAAACGTCGCCAAGATACTCTCAATCTTACATGGGAAAAGACCTGAATACGCCAAGACTTGCATACCTGCTCCCACGTAAAATTGGAAGTGTCTTGGCGACGTTTCGACGAAGTCTCATTCGTCATCTTCAGGCTGGTGTTCTCGGCTTCGTGCTTCCAGGATCTCACATTACGATCTCACATTGCTCCTGGAAGCACGAAGCCGAGAACACCAGCCTGAAGATGACGAATGAGACTTCGTCGAAACGTCACCAAGACACTTCCAATTTTACACACACACACACACACACATATATACAGGTAGTTCTCGACTTACTGCAGTTCATTTAGTGACAATTTGAAGTTACAACAGCATCAAAAAAGTGATTTATGACCATTTTTCACACTTACGACCGATGCAGCATCCCCATGGTCATATGATCAAAATTTGGATGCTTGGCAATTCATATTTATGAGGTTGCAGTGTCCCTGGGATCACGTGATCATGTGACCTTTTGACAAGCAAAATCAATGGGAAAGCTAGATTCACTTAACAACCGTGTTACTAATCTAACAACTGCACTGATTCACTTAACAACGGTGGCAAGAGAAGTCGTATAACGGGGCAAATCTCACTTAACAAATGTCTCACCTAGCAACATACATTTTGGGCTCGATTTTGGTCGTACGTCGAGGACTGCCTGTACTTACGTGGCAGGAAAAATACCTCAATCCTCTGAAAAATAGGGAAAGTGGAAAAAAGAGACCAGGATATACGCGCAAAATTCCTCCAAAAAACAAAGGACATTGCAATGCAGCCCCTTCATTCCCCAACTGCTTTGCTCAGGCATCCAGAAAATTCCTTATTTTTGTGAGCTTCAATTTTAATGGGCAGCATCAAAATGGAGTAAATGAAGAAAAACAAATAAGTAAAACGGGCATTCCTTCACACCAGGGGTGGGGAACTACGGTCCCTTTGTGTTCTGCCCCAGCTATGGACCCCAAAGAACACAGCACACACAAAATTTGTACAAAACTTAATTTACTAAAATAACTCGGTCTTTTTTCAAAACAAAGGCTGTTAAGAAACTTTCTTAACAGCCTACAAGAAACCAAAGATAAAGTAATCACAATCTTACTAAGGTTGGCAGAAAGCCCAAAAGCAATTTGCAGGAAGCTGATAAGATAAGCAAGACAAGACACGAAGGTATGTGAACTAAATTGTTCCCTGCAAATTGCTTCAGTCGGCATTCTTCCTTAAATAGGCTAAGGGAGTGGCCAATTAGCCCCAAGCCTTACTCTCGAGGAGACCTCCTCCTGAGGAGCCACTCCTGCCTTTTGGCAGCTCTGCGCGCCCGGGCATTGAGAAGAGGCTCCTCCTCTTCGTCCTCTTCACTTATGGGAGCTTCTGGAGGTTCTGAAGGCCCTGGCTGAATCCCCGCCTCTGGCACCACATCTTCTCCAGCCTCCTCACTGTCCGACTCGAGTGCCAGCTGCACAGGCTGCTGGCGCAGCACCACACCAGCCTCCTCGCTGTCAGAGTCAGCTACAATCCGCACAGGCCACTGACGGGCCACAACACTTTGTGACTTGTGGACTCCAATTCCCATCATTCCTGAGCCGCCTGGAATGCTACCTCGGGAATGATGGGAGTTGAAGTCCACAAGTCAGAAAGCGGCCGTAGTTCCCCCCCTCTGCTTTACACCAATGGTTTGGCCGCCTTACCAAAGTGATCCCAGTCCTCCTGCAAGTTCTGTATCTCCAGCTGATTCTTGCCCTCGGTGAAAATAGGCTTGGGGTTCTTCTCAAAGCCACCCGAGAGGATGCCCCCCTGCCAGCTGCGGATGTAGATCCTCCCATCCAGGTCCACAATAGCTGCAGAGGAGAGAAGCAAAGGCTTGAACCCAGGAGGAAAAACAGGATGGGGGGGTCGGGAGAGAGGGGAGAACCAACCCAAAACACAGAGGGAGGGGGACTCTCCTTGCTTGCTAAGGGCCTCAACTGCACACAGGATTCCTGCACCCAGGGCCAGGCTGCCTTCTCATGCAACTAGAAGGCCCGCTTGGCACAGAGTTCTTTGGCCTACCAGAGTTACTGGTCTGGCCAAGGGGGCTGTACCACCACGGAACTGGGAAGGACTCAACTTTCAGCCTCTTGGAAGCGGTGGGGAGATGTCAGCCGTCACCTCTGTGACACTGTCATGGTTTGTAACTGATTTTATGTCGCAAACAAGCAAAGAGCACTTAAAGGTAAGGAGCAGTGGTGGGTTCCAATTGGTGTTACCACCAGTTCTCTTCGTGCACGCACTTTGTGCGCTCCACGCAAGTGCAATAGAATTCTGCCCAGCTGAGGCGTGGCAATCCATTCTGCTGCGCCTATCAGCTGGGCTAAAAAACGAGAAATAAAGGTAGGTATATCGCGGGGGCGGGCGGGAGGGCTCAGCTCACAGGCATAGAGAACCGGTTCACTGACGTCACATCATCACCACTACCGGCTCACCCGAACCGGCCCGAACCGGGAGAAACCCAGCACTGGTAAGGAGCTAAGGATTTTTTTTTTAAAAAAAACCCACATGGATCCAAGAAAGCCATCAGGCTTGTTTTGCAATCTGAGCCTAAGAACCTCTTCAGAAATCTTGACCCATCAAGACCATCTGATATGGCCTCCTCACGCTCACTACGAAGAGCACAACGCGGCTTTGAAAAACACAGCCCTCTGCAATGCCAACTTCAATTCACACCATGCTGTGACGTCAATGCCCTTTGCTGTCACTAAAGGGTGAATGAAAGGGGGCTCCTTCTCATGCAGAGAAGATGGGCTGCTGGCCAGACCTTCTCTAGCAAAGGAAACCCCAGCAGGAACTCTGTAAGAGCCGAGGTGGCACGGTGGTTAGAGTGCAGTACTGCAGCTACTTCAGCTGACTGCTAGTTCAGCAGATCAGTGGATCAAATCTCACCGGCTGAAGGGTGACTCAGCCTTCCATCCTTCCGAGGTGAGTAAAATGAGGACCCAGATTGTTGGGGACAATATGCTATTTAGTATACTGTCTTCGGTGTAAGCCACCCAGAGCCCTCGGAGAGTGGGTGGCATAGAAATATGAATAATAAAAAAAATAATTAAAAAACCCATCTAGGTGAGATGTCCCTGGAATGCTCTGGTGGTGCCCTCTGCTCAAGCAGGCCACTTCCAAGTGTCAGCACAAGCAAAGGGCACCCCAAAGGCTATCTTCACTCTTCTCCAGAGCAGCTGGGGGCTTCTTCAGAACTACAGCTATTGGGCCAAAGTATTCCTCAGCAATAGCAATAGCACTTAAGACTTATATACCACTTCACAGTGCTTTACAGCCCTCTCTAAGCGGTTTATAGAGTCAGCCTATTTGCCCCCAACAATTTTGGTCCTCGTTTTACCAACCTTGGAATGATGGAAGGCTGAGTCAACTTTGAGCTGGTCAGGATTGAACTCTAGGTTTGGGGCAGAGTTTGCTTGCACTACTGCATTCTAATCACTGCACATCATGGATGGATGGATAGATGGCAATTGACTTATACACTGCTTCACAGTGCTTTACAGCCCTCTCGAAGTGGTTTACAGAGTTGGCCTATTGCCCCAAACAATCTGGGTCCTCATTTTACCCACCTCGGAAGAATGGAAGGCTGAGTCACCCTGGAGCCTGGTGAGGATCGAACATCTGGCAATGAGCTGAATTAGCCTGCAATACTGCATTCAAACACTACACCACCATGGCTCCAGGAAAAGTTGGGAAGCCAGCTTCAACAAGCTTCAAGTAGCCAAGAATCTTCTCTAAATGGAATCAGGCCATGCCCAATACTGTGCTGTCTGACTCCTTAGGTTTCAAGTCAAGGCCTTTTAAGCCTGTTCATACTCTTTAAACTCAGGGATGTTGCTTTGGCCTGTTAGCCGCCGGCCCCTCCAGCAGCCAAATCAGAGGAGGAGGAGGCAGCGTGGGAGTCAGGGTCAGCATCAAGGCAACCTGAGAGCTCCAAGGGGGAAGAGGGAATGGAGCTGGCACAGAGAGAGAGAGAGACAGAGGTGGAGCCTGGGCTGTCCATCAGCCCTCAGATGGAGAGTCAACAGCCCCACAAGCCTGGAGGTGGCTGATGAGGAAGAGGAGGACCAGCTGGGTCCAGTGCCTGACACGCAGATGCGCAAAAGGCAGAGGAGAGGAGAGCAGTGGGAATCTATGGGCTGGTCCTTGGGACAGAAGAGCCACTGCTGCTAGCAAAGCCCCATCCTAGATCTGGGGATAAAAGGCAGGGGGTGGAAAAGAATAGGTGTAGCTGACAACTATTCATCTCCCTGCCGGACAGACTTGTTTGCCTGCATTGAGAAACTTTTTGCCGGGGCTGCAGGCTCTCCTAATAATCATTTATTTAACTTCAGAGGGTTTGTGGTGTTTGGGGAGCTGGGTCAGAACAGATGTCCAACCTTGGCAACTTTAAGATTTGTGGACTTCAACTGCCAGAATTCCCCAGCCAGCCATAAGTCTTAAAAGCTACCAAGGTTGGATACCCCTACTCTAACTCAGACCAGAAATCTCTGGGGCTCCCAGTGTCCAACTGGGAGACAGTCAGCCTGTACTCAAGCCCCCCGTCTCTGGAGTTGATAGCCCCTGAACACCTGGGGCTCCCAACCTTTGCTTTGCATGTGGATGCCAAGCACCTATGCACTAAACACCCACGGCCTGCCATTGTGCCAAAGCCCAAGCACCTGCAAGACAGCGCAAGAGAAGGTTCCTCACTTGGAGTGCTACTCTCCAGGGGGGTCTTCAGGGGGCGCGTCAGAAGGTAGAAGTGCTCGCAGGCATGCAGCGGGATGCTGACCGGCTCCTCGTTGGAAAGGCCAAGCTCGTAAGCCCACTGAAAGCAAAGGAGGAAATTTAAGGACTGATTGGTTTTACGTCAACGGGGCTCATTCTTCAACTTGTGCTGCACTGTTTCAAAGAAACATTTCAACCCATGCAGGAATGCATGGAATAAATGCAGGAATAAAAGACACCATAATAAAAAAAACTCACATTTTATAGGAACGAATAAAAACCCAGGCAATTTAGAAGTGTGTGTACATTGCTTTGTAACCTCAAGGACTGAAACAACTGTTAATTTTCAATATTTTGTTCCAAAAGGACTCTTACATTTAATCCATTAGGAATTTCTTTCATTAAACTGAAATTATAGAAACTTAAATGTGAGTAAAATAAGCTTTAAACAAAGTGCTTCAAAACAATTTTAATGTTATTTCCCATATTTTTAGATATCACTGATGTAAAGAAAGAGTGTTTTGCTACAATGAACTTAGCAGATAATAACAAGTAGTGAATTAATTTTTTTATGCTGCATCGTAAGGGCTGGGGAAAAATTATCGGTAAGATTGGGTTAAAATGACTTATCAATTTTAATTGCTTTATCATTTTTTTCCAAAAAATAAAATAAAATTCAAGCAGAACAAGAAAATATCGATTTCAGAAATAGAACCATGAATATGATTACAACTTTTCTAGTTCAAACAAGAATTACTGTTAGTTTAAGAAGCAGCTTTTTTTTTCAACTTTTTTTTTATTGTAGTTTTTTTCCGTTTTCCAAAATTGCAGTACATAATCGATCAGTGTTACTTTTCCCACAGGTTAGATTAATTATTCCTATATATTCTATAACTCCTAAATACATGTGTGTGTGTGTGTGTGTGTGTGTGTGTGTATATATATATTAACTATACATATATATATATATATATATATATATATACACACACACACACACACACATATATATATATATCTTAAACTTTATACTAATCTTTATCCATTTTTGATTCGGCTATCAATCCACCTGTACCAATTATCCCACACCATATAGTATTCTGAATCCTATTTTTCATTTAGTTCTAATTTTAGTTTATTCATTTCGGCACAATCGAATATTTTTTGAATAATGAATTCCTCTGGTGGTATATTGTTTCCTTTCCAATGCTGTGCATATGTTATTCTCGCTGCTGTATATGTATAATTAAAATTAGAAGCAGCTTTAATACCATCTATAAACTCTTTTTGGTCAATTCTGGGATTTGCTCTAATAGAGGGGAAATTTAGCTAATGGGATTCTTATTGTTGCCAAAGAAACAGCAGTGATAATATATCTAATATGTAGCACAGTGGAAGAAAGATTGCAGGATGGACGTGAACAACTGCCTGGGGAGAGGCTGCAAGGATCTGGTCTTTACACCTCTTGTCACCAGAGGCAAAATATATAAGGAACAAGTTATTCATTATTTCGTTTTATAGCCTGTTTTCCAACTGGTGCAGCACACAAACAGTTAGCAAATATTGGCTAATATGGTTTAACGCTCTGAGCACAATTCCATGCTCTGCATAATTAGTGAGGATCACAGAACCCAAACAGAACAGTGAGAAAAGCAGATAGATAACTTTCTCATGAGCCCCTTCTGGTCTTCCGGCAACCATATGCCTACAACAAGGAGCCGTCCACTCGCCCCGTGCCCTCCATCCCACCAGCCACCCCATTTAGCACAACTGCAACTGAGTCTAACCAAAGAGAGAAGCAGATTAATCCTGGGATTAAGGAGAAACTTCCTAACAGTGAAGACAATTAACCAGTGGAACAGCTTGCCACCAGAAGTTGTGGGCGCTCCATCACTGGAGGTTTTTAAAAAGAGACTAGACAGTCACTTGTCTGAAATGGTATAGGTTCTCCTGCTGGAGCAGGTGGCTGGACTAGATGAGCTCTAAGGCCCCTTCCAGCTCATTTTCTTCTATTCCCCATCTAATAATGTGAGCAGCTTGCCAACTTGAATAAGTGCCTCTTGTTTGTTGCCCAAAAGGCCTAGCCCCTAAAATCTGCTCAGGAAGTCTACTGTGGGCAGTCCCAGAACACCCCCCCCCCCCCCCCCCCCCCCGAGGCCCCCCCCCCCCGCCGGCCCCCAAGCCCTTCCGCCCCACGGTCCAATCAGGGCCTCACCTGCCCAGCACAGTTAACGAAGTATGGGCACTCAATCATCCCTCTGTCCGTCTCCACTCCAGTTACGCAGCCCTTCTGGCCCAAGACGTGGATGACACTGGTTCGTTCGTGGATTTGAACACCTGGGGAGAACAACAGGGGAGAGGAAGTTGGGTGATCTCTGGTGATCCATCGCAAGGGATAGCTGCAAAGAGCCCCGATCTTTCACTGTAACTCTTGGACTCTGCTTACCCAAAGTGCCACCCTGCAAGGAACACAACTCAACAGTAACGCAACTCCATAGAACCTCACGGCCACTCACGCTCCTTGACAAGCCCAGTCTGACATACGGAATGCTGCCTTCAAAAGGATGGAGCCTGGATAGCTCAACAGACTAAAAGCCTGTTATTAACATTCAGATGTCGGCAATTACTGCTAGTTCGAATCTCCCCAGGCTCAAGGTTGACTCAGCCTTCCATCCTTTCTAAGGTAGGTGAAATGAGGACCCAGTTTGTGGGGGCAATAAGCTGACTTTGTATAAATATACAAAAGTATGAAGGCTATTGCTTAACGCATTGTAATCCGCCCTGAGTCTCCGGAGAAGGGTGGCATATAAATCTAATTAAATATATATATATCAATTTTCTTACTTCTTCGTAGGGTTTATGTGTGTTTTTCTTCTAGCCAGGTTTTCCCTACGTAACCAAGGTTTTTTGTAGCTGAGCTGGAGTTACAAAAAACCTTGGTTACGTAGGGAAAACCTGGCTAGAAGAAAACATACACACACACACACACACACACACACACTATATATATTATAATGTCACAGCAAGACACTTTGACACAGATGTAGACAGAAGCCCTGCTCAAGGCCCAGAAACCTTGAGCAAATTCTGCCAGAATCAGTAAAGACTAACTTTGACCTGACCCAGAAGGGCAGTTCTGGTGCTCTTAAGCAAAGATAGGAGTTTGGGGACAGGATCACAGATCCAGAACTGCATCTGTAGGCAAGAAGTTCCTTTGTGGCATTCAAAACTAAAGAAACTTAAGGAATTCAGTTGCAGCAATGAAACAAATTGCAAACATGGAAGCAGGCTAATTGTAGAGCCTTGGTGATGGAGTGGTTAGAATGCAGTATTGCAGGCTAATTGTGCTGACTGCCAGTAGTTTGATTCTGACCGGCTCAAGGTGGACTCAGCCTTCCATCCTTCCAAGGTGGGTAAAATGAGGACCCAGATTGTTGGGGGTAAAATGCTGGCTCTGTAATCCGCTTAGAGAGGACTGTAAAAGTACTATGAAGTAGTATATAAGTCTAAAGAGATATTGCTATTACTGAGAAGAAGTTAGTTAAGACTTAATTTAAGAGCTTTTCTGCAAGTAGGAGCCCCACAGAGCCATGGTGGCACAGTGTAAGAGTGCAGTACTGCAGGCGACTTCAGCTGCCTGCTAGCAGTTTGACAATTCGATCCTGACCGGCTCAAGGTTGACTAACTTCCCTCCTTCCAAGGTGGGTCAAATGAGGGCCCAGATTGTTGGGGGAAAGAGGCTGATTCTGTAAACCGCTTAGAGAGGGCTGGAAAGCACTGTAAAGCGGTATATAAGTCTAAGTGCTATTGCTATTTCTGCAACTAGAAGGCCCACTTGGCACAGCGTTCTTTGGCCTACCACATTTACTGGTCTGGCCAAGGGGGCTGTACGACCACTGAACTGGGAAGGACTCAACTTTCGGCCTCTTGGAAGCAGTGGGAAGATGTCAATCATCAACTATGTCGACACTGTCATTGTAACTGATTTTATGTCACAAATAAGCAAAGAGCATTTAGAGTAATGAGCTAAGGATTTAAAAACAAAACAAAACAGATGGGTCTAAAAAAGACACCAGGGTTGTTTTGCAATCTAGGCCAAAAAACATCTTCAAATTCTAAGGGATTTCTTGATATGGCCTCCTCTTGCTCACTACGAAGAGCAGAATACTGTTTTGAAAAACACAGCCCTCTGCAATGCCAACTTCAATTCTTACCATGCCCTCATGCCAATGCCTTGTGCTGTCACTAAAGGGTAGAGGAGGGCTCCTAAAAGCCTACAGGTGGCCACCTACTCCCAATGAGGTTCCTGCAGAGATAACAGTGTTCAACTCTCACAACCTCTTGCCCAGGAGATGCCCAACCTTGGCAATTTTAAGACTTGCTGGCTGGGGACTTCTGGGAGTTGAAGTCTACAAATCTTAAAGTGGCCAAGTTTGGAGACCCAATACGGTCAACGACAGACACTTTCAAGCCAGAGAAAGGTCTTCTCCACCACAATGCTCTGACCCTTTTAGCTGGAAAGTCCCAGAATGAACCTGTTGTGGCTCCGTTGCCTGAGCCTGGGCTATCGACAGATGCAGACTCTGAGAGCGAGGAAGAGGAGTTGGCAAGGCCTCCCTCTCCAGGACCCTCCTCTCTGACAAAGCCTCTGGAGGACACCGAAGGCCAAACGATAGGCTCAGAGCCAAGCACGTCCCCGCAGCCACAGGTGGACAGTGAAGAAGAAGATAAGTGCTGGCTGGACCCGCGACAGAGGCGCAGGGAGAAGCGTGCACAGCAGAGGGGAAGGCGTGCCAGAGATTAGCTGAGTCACTGGACCACACCCCACAGGGTATAAATGTGGGTGTGGTGGCCGGTTCAGTTTGTGACGAGCAAAAACTGGAAATACTCCATGATCTCTGCGTTACTGGACTTTGCCTGCTTTATCGGACTGCATTTGGATTAATTCTTGTATTGTTGACACTCTGCCTGTTTTATCGGAATGCTGGCAGTCTAATCTTTGTTTTGTGTGAGTAAAGTCTGAATTGGCAGCTGTGTTGCTGCCAGCTTTATCTTCAAAGTGTTTTGTCATGTGGCTTATTAACTCTGGGCCGTCTGTGGGGGGTGCGTGTGGGGTACGGGGACAGAACAGAACCTGCAGCCCAACCCTTGAAATCACACATGCAGGGCTGGGCTTTTTCATGCCACTCCAGTCAGCAGTGAAAAGAGATCCTGCCCTTTGTCCAAGAGAGACCATCTAAAAACCTGGTCCTGTTTAGAGTGAAAGCACAAGACGCAATGATAATTGCATTACTTCCCATCAGCTGATGCTTCCTGGTTTTCAGGATATGGTCTAAAGTAGTTTCCTCTATATCCATCAAACGGAACCTGCTTCCCACAAAATGCTCACAAAGCAACATACACCCAATGTGCTCTGACCCAGTTCTCCAAACACGACCAATCCTCTGTATTTAAATCAATGATTCCTTTAATTAGGAGCACCATCAGCCCCAGCAAAAAGTTTCTCTCTCAACGCAGGCTAACAAGTCTATCCGGCAGGGAGATGAATAGTTGTCTGCCACATCTATTCATCTCCGCCTCCTGCCTTTTATCCCCAGAGCCAGGGTGGGGCTTCACTATTTATTTTATTTATTTATTTTATTTATTTTATTATTCATATTTCTATGCCGCCACTAACAGCGGTGGCTCTTCCGTCCTGAGGACCGGCCCATAGATTCCTGCTGCTCTCCTCTCCTCTGCCTTCTGTGCATCTGCACATCAGGCACTGGACCCAGCTGTTCCTCCTCTTCCTAATCAGCCACCTCCAGACCTGGGGGTTGTTAACTTTCCATCTGAGGGCTCCGCCTCCGCCCCCCCTCTCTCTCCCTCCCTCCCTCCCTCTCTCTCTCTGCCAGCGCATTCCCTCTTCCCCCTCAGAGCTCTCAAGTTGCCTTGATGCTGAGCCTGACTCCCATGCCTCCTCCTCCTCCTCTGATTTGGCTGCTGGAGGGGCCGGTGGCCGACAGGCCACAACACAATGTCTTAAAGGAAAGCTGGAGTGGAGTCTATCCCTGTGGCTTTGCAGCATCACTCCACACACACCCTCCCAAGCAGTGCCCACCCCCTGAAAAAGGAAGTCCCGGCAGGACATTGGGGAAGCTGGGTCATACCGTTTGCTGCAGCAGCATTGGCCAAAGCGTGGGTCACGTCAGCAGATGATATGACGGCGTCCTCGGGCACATGCAGGGCCCCCACCAGGTCGTGGATGTTGATAAAGGGGTGGAGCTGGGCCACTCTCTTTGGCGGGATAAGCTCACAGGGAATACCCATGATTCTGCCGGAGACACACAAGAACCGTTACACTTGTTCCACCCAGGCTGATGCCGCCCCACCAGACGCGCATATGCGCCAGCTTACTTGAGTCGCGAGGCTATGCGCTTCAGCGAGATCAGCCGGTCTTGGGTCTGAGCTAGTGAGATGGAGCCCGTCCTCATGTAACCTGGAACAAAAAAAAAAAAATAGCCCACTCTCAGCTTGCGGGCGGTCCCACCAAAGAGCCATTTCCTGCATTTCTTATTCTTAGATGGGAGAATAACGGAAGGAAGCAGGCGTTAAGAGCAGTGTTTCCCAATCTTGGTGAATTGAAGGTGAGTGGACATCAACTCCCAGAATTCCCTGCAATGGCTATGCTGGTTGTGGAATTCTGGGAGCTGAAGTCAATACACCTGGAAATGGCCACGGTTGGGAAACTCTGTGTTAAGAGGGAAGAGCTTGGACAGGAGAATCCGTACTTCCGATCTCTGCGCAGCCATGAAATGAAGCGAGTTTAAACCACACCACCATTGTTATACAGGCAGTCCTCGACGTACGACCACAACTGAGCCCAAAATTTCTGTTACTAGGCAAGACGTAAGTTTTGCCCCATTTTACCACTTCTCTTGCCACCTTTGTTAAGTGAATTACTGCAGTTGATAAATCAGTAACCTGGCTGTTAAGTGAATCTGGCTTCCCCGTTGACTTTGCTTGTCAGAAAGTGGCCAAACGGGGATCAGGTGATCCCAGGACGCTGCAATGGTCATGAGTCAATTGCCGAGCATCTGGATTTTGATCACATGACCATGGGGATGCTCTAAGGGTCGGTTAAGGGTCAGGCTAGTCCAAAGAAAGGAAGAATTAGGGGTGACACGATAGCAGGATTCTAGTATTTGAGGGGCTGCCACAAAGAAGAGGGGGTCAAATTACTCTCCAAAGCACCAAGAGAAGAAACAATGGATGGAAACTAATCAAGGAGAGAAGCAACCTGGAATTGAGGAGAACTTCCTAACAGTGAGAACAATTCACCCGTGGAACTGCTTGCCTCCAGGAATCATGGGCGCTCCATCACTGGAGGCTTTTAAGAAGAGACTGGACATTCACTTGTCTGAAATGGTGTAGGCAGGGTCTCCCGATTGAGCAGGGGGCTGGACTAGAAGGCCTCCAAGATCTTTTCTATTCTGCTCTACTCCACTGTACTCTACTCTCCCCCTACTCCTGATGCAATTGGAGGGTGCCAACAAAATAGATACGGGATGCCTTCTTTCCCCAAACTGACACCTCCGGTTCTTACCAGTTTTCACACCCGTCTCTTGCTCGAGTTGCTGATAGAGCTTCCTTGAGTAATCGGCCATCTTCAGCTCGATGGACAAATGCCGCACTGTGCTTACGACGCCTGCGCAGAACCGAGTGGAACCGGCTGCCAGCCTGAAAGGGAAAAGCCAGAGAGCTAAAGAGAAACTCCAGAACCCAAGAGGGAGAAGAGGACAAGAAGTCCCGAAGCTCAATTTACAAGTTATACATACAGGTAGTCCTTGAATTACAACCATAATGGAGTCTGCTCATCACGGTCGTAAATTATGATGGCCACAAAACAGGTTGGTGATATGGGTGCGACTTACCGCCATCATGACATATGATAGAAAGTCTGGGCTCTATTACAGTCATAAGATAAGGACCACCTTTATGGTAAAACAAGCAGAGATGCGGTCCAGAACAAACAGGGACGTCAAACTGGATTTCTTCGAGGGCCAATCAGCATATTAGTTCTCCTCTGCAGACCAACCGGGGGGGGGAGAGGGAGGGAGAGACATGACGGACACCTCCCGCAGCACTTTGCCGGCCAAAACGGGGCACAGGGGGGCCACACAAACCCCCTCCACATCGCTTTTTCTGCCTGGATGGCCACGCAGCACACACACACCCACGCCCTGTTTTGGCCAGCAAAGTGGCGCAGGAGGCCATCCACGCAGAAAACGGGGTGCAGGGGGGCTGTGTGCGGCCCCGCACACTGTTTTGGCTGGCAGAGAGCTACAGGAGACCATCCAGGCCAAAAATGGGCCACGAGGGGACTGTGCGAGTCCCCCCCCCCGGTGCCCCATTTTGGCTGCCAGAGACACCGAGGGCCAGTCCTTTGCTATTTCCCACAGAGTCGGTCTCCTCCGGGTCCCGTCAGCTAAACAATGCCGGCTGGCGGGCCCGCGGGGGAGGGCCTTCTCTGTGGCTGCCCCAGTTCTCTGGAACCAGTTACCTCCTGAGGTCTGGACCATCCCCACCCTATTGGCCTTCCAAAAAGCGGTGAAGACCTGGCTTTTCCAGCAGGCCTGGGGCCGTTGATCTCGCTCTTGTGATCTTGCGAGATCTGGCCATGAATGGTGTGCATGGACTTTTAATGTTTTTAAAATGTTTTTATAATGTTTTTTAATAATTTTCCTATGTTCTTTGTTGTATTATTTTTTGCTGTAAGCCGCCCAGAGTCCCTTGGGAGTTGGGGGGCATAGAAATTTGATAAATTAAATTAAATTAAATTAAATTAAATTAAATTAAATTAAATTAAATTAAATTAAATAATTTAAATTAAATTAAATTAAATTAAATTAAATTAAATTAAATTAAATTAAATTAAATTAAATTCCAGGCCAGCCCCGCAGGCCAAATTTAAGCACCCCGTGGGCCTTGAGTTTGACACCCCTGGAACAGGGGATCAATTCATTCATTCATTCATTCATTGAAGGCACTGTCTATCCACTGCAGGATGGAGTCCTCTTCTGCATGTTTTCAACCAAGACTGTCCTGAGCCTTCTTTTGCCAATTGGGCCCCCCATACTTGCTGATATCATCTCTCCATCTTGTTTTAGGTCTCTTTCGTGGATGCTTTTGATCAAGTCGAATTCATTCTATGACCATCTTGGTCCACCTGCCCTCAGTTCTTCTTGCTATGTGACCAGCCCATTTCCATTTCTTTTACTTCTTATTAAAGGGCTCCATGAAGGTATACGTTATAGGAAAGAAGCACCCAGTGCAAAAAAAAAGGCAGAGTGAGGAAATCTGATTGTTTATAGAGAATAAATGAAGATTCATTTCAGAACAAATTGTGTGTGGTTTGAGAGGAGGAAGACCAAGGAAGTTATGATTGGCCAGAGTTGGTGACCTTCTCAAAAAAACATAATCCTTTACCTGCCCTGCTCCAGTAAGACAATGTCCTTCCACCCTAGCTTGGAGAGATGATATGCCACTGAGGTGCCCATGATTCCACCACCACAGATAACGACTTGCGCTTGTGTTGGCAGGGGCATCAAGTGAGATTCAGCTCCATTGCTGCTACTGTGCCGGAAGCCACAGAGCTTCCACCACGTCAGAGTCATTCTTTGCCACTGGAGGTCTAACAGTCGTCGGAGAAACATCATGCTGACGGTCAGTCGGTTCTCCAAAGACGCACAGATAAATCTTCACAGCTGCTGCTAGCTCTGCAAAAGAGGAACATGCTTTTTATTAATGCTTGGAATACGACTTCAGCAACCTCAATGAGATCGGTCAGCATCACCACCTCCGATGTGAAGAGATCAGGGTTCCTAACGTTTTTGGATGGGTGGGAACCTGTAAAAGTTTAAGTACAGGATCTGGCCCTTTTTGGAAAATGATTGCAGTGATAGTTCACCAGAAGCCCTTTTTTATTACTTTAGTATTTGGAAGCCATGAATTGAAACAAAGACATTGTCTCTGCTTTTTAAAAAGTCAATTAATAAGAAATGTTGGGGCAAACCATATAATACCACCAAAATAAAGAATATGAGCACAACAAAAATGCATTCTGCAAGTACAATAATCCCTACTCGCTACTTCCACTGGGGATATTGGTGGAGTGATGGAAGCCCCTCATATACAGAAATATAAGAGCCTTGGTAGTACAGTGGTCTAAAGCACCCTGTTATTAACACCAGCTGCCTGCAATTACTGCAGGTTCGAATCTCGCCAGGCTCAAGGTTGACTCAGCCTTCCATCCTTTCTAAGGTAGGTAAATTGAGGACCCAGTTTGTGGGGGCAATAAGCTGACTTTGTATAAGTATACAAAAGTATGAAGGCTATTGCTTAACGCCTTGTAAGCCGCCCTGAGTCTCCGGAGAAGGGCAGCATATAAATCAAATTAAAAAAAAAAAATCAAAAGGATACACAAGTTTGGTCAAGTTCAATGGCTGAATCTCTTCTCTTTCAGCCTCATATAGATACATTTACATAATATACTTGATCCCAAGTCCAGTTAAGCAATCATACAATACGCCCTAGTATGTATTATACACCTTAAATGTGATGCAAACAGACCCAGGTGAATTTAACCTGCCAGAATGGGACTTTTTGTCTTGGACACTTCATTCTCCTCGGGCGTTTCTCCTCAGGCGATTCTTCCCCAACTTATCTCCTCACCTGGCACGTCTCCAGCCATTCGCCCTGGGGAATGGGCCACTGTCCACTGTGTCCCACACCCTTCGACATGGCCCAGCATAACATGGCAACTAGCATGTGTGTGTGTGTGTGTGTGTGTCTGTGAAAAAGGAAAGGAAGGCAGGGTGCAGAGAGAAAAGGCCATTTCACTCAATCACACTCCAGAGAGCAGTTGGTTCCTTGTCTGAACTGGAGCCCAGGCCATTGGGAGTGGGGGAGAATAAAATAAAGGAAGATCGACGTTGTTTTGAGGAACAGTTGGTTTACTCGGAAGTAAGTCTCACTAAATTCAATGCTAGGATCGCAGCGTGAAGTAACAGCGTCCCTGTATTTATCGAAAGACGAACCTTCTTTCTGCGAATGGGCTGTGTCGAAGGGTGTGGGACACAGGGCGAATGGCTGGGGGCGTGCCAGCTGAGGAGATAAGTCGGGGGAGAATCGCCCGAGGAGAATGAAGAGTCGGAGATGAAAAGTCCTAGACCCTAACTTGCAACCCATCAGAAACCATGTTAGTTTGATCTAGTGTGAATCGAGCCAATATGCTGTGCTTTGGCACAATTCCATGGTTAAAACAATTTACCCACTGAATGCCAAAAGCACATTTACTGCCACAGGGCAGCACTGACTCAGTCACACCTTGCCCTTAAGTACAAAAGTGATCTCCTAGAAAAGACTCACAATGTGGCAATAAAGGGAAGAGGAGGCAAATCTCTATAAAAAGCCAAGTTTTATATTTTTTTTAAGAAAGAGCTCAACCATTCTTTCCTTCTGATTTAAAAAACCCTGGATGCAACTAATCTAATAATTAGGAATAATCTAATTTGAATGCCTGCTACCTCCTCCTATTTTCAACCATGGGACTGACTAGCAAGTCTCCCAGAGCCATTTGTATTAACTGCCCTATAGGAAAAATCCTCAAATGTTTCATTTATTGCACGGTAATTTATAACTGGAGAGCAAATCTGGCATAGCGGTTAAGGCATCAGGCTAGAAACTGGGAGACCGTGAGTCCTAGTCTCATCTTGGGTAGAAGGCAAGCTGGAGGATCTTGGGCCAGTCGCTTTCTCTCAGCCCTAGGAGGAGGCAATGACAAACCACTTCTGCAAAACTTGCCAAGAAAACTGCAGGGAGTCTCCAACCTGATACAACTGAACAAAAGAAATAGAATTATTTCTATTGCTTGAAATACCCAGGATATAAATAACTGCCCCTGGATATCTTTTTATTATGATATCTTTTTAAAATATATAGGCATATATATAGGCTGTACACCGGGTCCTTCGGGAGAAGGGCGGTATAGAAATAATAATAATAATAATAATCTGCTATTATTATTATTATTATTATTATTATTATTATTATTATTATTATTATTGCTAATCTGCTTGGTTATTTTCCCACAAGGACACTATGGAGTGAGTTGGTCCCAAGGTCACCCAGCCAGTTTTCATATCTGAAACTTACTTTCTTTTTTTTTCCAAAACCAGAACATATTTTTCTTTTCTCACAGCACCATTACAATTCTCTTCAGCATGAGGTTATCTTTTCCCTTTCTATTTGTGCTTGATCAGAGAGATCTGGTTCCCCGGAGGAGCCGTCTCAGCCCAAGCTTGTCCCACCCACCCCAGTCAAGAGACGTACTTGGATCCCTTCTGCCAAAGAATTTCGGCTGGTGGAGTCCAGGAGAAGAGCCCCTTTTTTGCTGTGGCCCTTTGGACTCTTCTCCTACGGGAGGTGGGGTGGGACGAGTCCCCACACTCCTGGCCTGCTGGAAGACCCTTAAAACCTGGCTCTGCCAGCTGCCCTGTGGCCCCAGTGGGATGCTCTCTGCTGGGACTGGCTGATAGGATGGAGATAAGATCCCAGCCACCTGCCCTATTATGTCATCCGTCTTCTTAACTTTTCAGTCTTTTATTTAATCTTTCTTAATTTTCATGGTTCTGTACAGATTTGCATGGTGGATTTGAATCCAAGAAACCAGATGCAAATTCAGCCATGAATCTCTTTGTGAGATTTTCCACTAATTTGGTCCACCTATTCGACATTTGGTCCATTTTTTTCAGGTAGTCCTTGGTTTACGCCCGCAACTGAGCCCAAAAGTGAGACATTTGCTAAGTGAATTTTGCCCCATTTTACAATCTTCCTTGCCACTGTTGTTAAGTGAATCACTACACTTGTTAAGTTAGTAACTCAGTTGTTCATTGTATCTGGCTCCCCCATTGCCCTTGCTGGTCGGACGTTTGCAAAAGCCGATTATGTGACACTGCCATTGTCATAAATCTGAGTCCCTTGTCTAGCGTTTGATCCCAACCTTGGGGGATGCTGCAGCGGTCGTAAGGACGACAAACGGTCCCAAGTCACTTCTTTCAGTGCCGTTGTAAGTTTGAACCGCCACTAAATGAACTGTTGTAAATTGAGGACTACCTGCCTTACCTTATACATCATTTGATAAGCCACCTAGAGCTGCTGCAAAAGTGGAATGAGTGGCATACAAATTTAATGACAAACCCAGTAAAAATCTTGGGGGTGGGGGTGGGGGCTATCTACCTGCCTGGCAGATCCTTAAGGCCAAGGAACCCCAGGGGTGCCACCCTACTGGGGAGGGGGTCTCAAATTGCTCTCTGAGTCCCGCCCCTCACAAGGGGGGAGTCGTTGGGGAGCGAAGGAAAGAGAGGGGGGTTGACCTGTGGGGTCCAGAGCCCGACAGGTGAGGAAAGGCGGGGGGGGGGGGAGAGAAGGAGCGAATGTCCTCCTCCAAGGAAAGCCCTGAAACTTAAGCCACCTACAGCCACTGCAAAAGTAGGACGGGTGGCACATAAATTTAATAAATAAATAAACTCAGTAAAGGGGGGGGGCACTATCTACCTGTTGGAGCAGGTCCTTAAGGCCAAGGAACCTCAGAGGTGCCATCCTATTGGGGAGAGGGTCTCAAATTGCTCTCTGAGCCCCACCCCTCACAAGGGGAGGGTCGTTGAGGAGTGAAGGAGAGAGAGAGAGGGGTTCACCTGTGTGTCTGGAGCCGACATGTAAAGAAAAAAAGGGGTGGCAATGCCCTCCCCGAACCCCGAACCCCCCCCCCCGGAAGGCATTTTCTTCGACCCCCCCCATGCGGAGAGGCCTTTCCCAGAGGGGAGGGGGGAGAGAGGGGGAGGGGGGGCCCTGGACTATAAGGGCGGCAAGTGGGTGGGGGGCGCCGCTCCTACCCTTCGGAGTGCAAGGAAGGACAGGGCGAGGCGGTTACCCCCCCGACCCGGGTTTCCTCTCGGGGCCGCCTAACGCCCCCGGTGCCCAGCCCGGCCGCCAAGGACCCACCTGTGCGGCCTCCGGCGCGGCGCTCACCTGAACGCGCTGCCTGGAGGCTTTAATTTGCATCGTCGGCCCCGCCCCGCGGCGGGTCATCTGCATACTCGGCCCCGCCCCCGCAGGTATCGTCGCGGGAGGTGGTGGGAGGGGGGGGAAAGGAAAGAGCGGCGCGCGACCTTCCCCTTCTGTGTTGTTGTTGGTTTTTTTTTTTTACGCCCGCGCTTTACGGCCAGCCCCGCGCGCGACAAAGTCGCGCGGCTGCTGCCCGTGCCGCAACCCGTCGGGCGGCAGCCAATCGGCGCTGGGGGCGGGAGGAGGGGGCGGGGACAAGGGGTAAAAGAGAGAGCGCAGGCGCGCTTTGGTCGAGCCACGCGACCGGCCACGAGGAGCGCCGGCGTACTGCGCTTGCGCACTCTTCCCTTTGTAGGGAGGGCGGTTTGCTTGGATGCCCGTGGAAGTTGGGCGAGTTTTTAATCGGCTTTTTTGTTGTTTTTTTTAGCGCCGCCGGAGGATCGGGTCAAACGCAACGGCCGCTGCGGCCAGTCCGATCAGCTGCCGAGCCTACTTGGCAAGAACCGGAGCCAAATTAAGAAGAGACTAGACAGCTTCTCCTGCTTGAGTAGGGGGCTGGACTAGAAGACCTCCAGGGTCCCTTCCAGCTCCTGTTCTGCTCTATTCTATTCTGCTCTATTTATTTATTTATTTATTTGAATGGGAGTTGGGGAAGGAAAATGTTCCCATTGCCCATCTCCTGTGTGTCAATTCTTTTGGTAAGAATTCTTACCAAAATTCTCTCCTAAGAATTTTGAGGACTCAGATTTCTTAACACACAAGTTACTCATGCCCTCGTCACCTCCCGTCTTGACTATTGCAATGGGGCTAGGGATGCAGTGGGTCAGTGGCTAAGGCACTGAGCTTGTCGATCGAAAGGTCGGCAGTTCGAATCCCTAGTCTCACATAACAGGTGAGCTCCCCTGCCTTGTCTCAACTTCTGCCAACCTGGCAGTTCGAAAGCAGGTAAAAAATGCAAGTAGAAAAATAGGGACCACCTTTGGTGGGAAGGGAACAGCGTTCCGTGGGCCTTTGGCGTTGAGTCATGCCGGCCACATGATCACAGAGACGTCTTCGGACAGCGCTGGCTCTTCGGCTTTGAAACGGAGATGGCACCGTCCCCCTAGAGTCAGAAACAATTAGCACTTATGGGTGAGGTGAACTTTTACCTTTTTATACATGGGGCTTCCCCCGAAAAGCATCCAGAAGCTCCAGTTGGTTCAAAATGCAGCAGCCCCACATGGTTGTGTAGACCTCGGTGTGCCCGTGTTGCCTCCTGCGAGAGCTGCATTGGTTGTTGGTTTGCTTCTGGGTGCAATTCAAGGTGCTGGTTGTCACCTTTAAAGCCCTTCATGGCTCGGGACCAGGTTATCCGAGGGACCGTCTCTTGCCAGTCACATCAGGGGTGAAATGCTCCCGGTTTGGGATAGCGATGGCGGATGGTTTGGAGAACCGGTAGCAAAAATCCCTGCAACCCCCCCCATGCCCAGCTGAGCCACGCGATCATCAGAGGCTTTTTTTTTTACTTTTAAAAGCATATTTTCTACAACCTCTTTGGCCAAAAAAATGCTTTTAAAAGTTAAAAAAAAAAGCCTCTGATGATCGCGCGGCTCAGCTAGGATCGTCAGAGGCTTTTAAAAGCATTTTTTCTACAACCTCTTCAGCCGAACAGGTTGTAGAAAATATGCTTTAAAAAGTAAAAGTTTAAAAAAAAAAGTTGGCCACGCCCGTCACATTACCCCCCCCAAGCCACACCCACAGAACCAGTAATAACAAATTTTAGATTTCACCCCTGAGTCACATCCACCTGATACACTAGAATGGGGTAGTAAGGAACGTGGCATGTCCCATCCCGTAAGGAGTTCCAACTGATGAGACCCAGAGGAAGGGCCTTCTCCGTGGTGGCTGCCTTCCTCTGGAACATCATCCCGCCTGAAATTAGACTGGTCCCCACTCTGACCCCCTTTCGGATGGCCCTGAAGACGTGGTTTTGCCAGTGGGCCTAGGAAACCCAGATGAGAGGGAGCCCATCAAATGGCTGATTTGAGTGTGGTGTTGTTGCCAGGTTAAAATAACCCCTTTTATTTTTTAAATTTCTTCTACATTGTGTTTTTATTTTCTCTAAGCCGCCTAGATCGTATAGGCGGCTATGTACATTTTCCAAAATAAATAAAACATCTCACCCAGCAGCCTCCAGCCGAGGTCGTTTTCAAGCCTTTGCTGTGTGGCCCATTGTTGTAGGTCAAGGCTTGGCCCATCGTACAGTGTTTCCCCGAAAATAAGACCCTGTCTTATATTTTTTTGAACCCCGAAATAAGCGCTTGGCCTTATTTTCGGGGTCTTATTATTTTGGGGTGCGTGGAGCAAGATGGGGCTTCTCTTGCCATCTCACCTGATTTCCAGCTCTGCGTTTAAATATTTTTGGGGAGGGCTTATTTTCGGGGGGAGGCTTATTTTAGTGCATGTGCTTAAAACCCTGATTGGGCTTATTATCAGAGGATGTCTTATTTTTGGGGAAACAGGGTAGTAATCTGGGGCAGGGGTCTCCATCCTTGGCAACGTTAAGACTTGTGGACTTCAACTCCCAGAAGCTTTGCTGGCTGGGGAATTCTGGGAGTTGAAGTCTGCCAGGCTTAACGTTGCCAAGGATGGAGACCCCCTGATCTGGGGCATCTGTTCACAGAGAACTGATCCCCCTGGTTGGTCAGTATGATGAGGAAGATCAGGGAGTCCTTCAAGAAATTCAGAAACGCTTAAGGGCAAAGTCCAGAGACACCAATCCCAATTAAATAACCTTGAAAAGTAGCAGAACTCAGATGGGTGACCATGAAAGGCAGCGGAGAAAAAACACAGCAAAAAACATAAAACCTGCAGACTCTTTTTTATTAAATTCTCCCGTTTCATCTGTACAGAAAAATGCACATTATGTTCAGTATTTCAGTTAACAATTCAAAAATTACACAGCATGAACATGTAAAAACAAAGAATGGCCAAGAATTTGTACATAGATAAGAAAAAAAACAACAACCAAACAATTTACAAAAAAAAAATAAAAATCAATATTACATTTTTTTTAAAAAGAACCAAGATCAGCCAACATTTGCTGTTTTGTGTTGTTGTTTTTTTAAAAAATTCTTTACCATGTCTCCAATGGCTGCTTTTCAAGGCTGCAAGAAGGGCACCGAACATAACCTAGCTAGGCCTTTCCAAGTTGTTTGGTGTGTATGGGTGGGTGTTGGTTTAAAATCCAATATTTGGATCTGCAATGAAAACAAAATCAAAACTGTGAGCATCAAAGACATTAATTGGTTCTGGGCTGCCTTGCAGGGGAAATGCCTCTTGGTGCCAATTCAGGAAACTCCAGATACCTTTTCACCAGGTATGGGGCCACAGGGTGGGCCGCAATGCAAATTTGAGGCAGTGGAAGGAAGCAATGCCAGTCCTACGAAGTCCCCAAATGTAGCCAGTCATTGCTGGCTCAAAAGAGTGGCAGTTTCCTGACAAATAACTATAAGGCTTGGTCCAAAACGCAGTTAGGTTCAGTACACAGCCCCTTCTGTCCTCCCTCAGCCTTCCAGCATGGGGCCAGCCTGATGCTATTTGCTGTGCCTTAATTTTCTCTCACTGAGACAAGGGGGGCAGCCTGTCTGATGGAAAGAAGGCCAAATGTACGTGTTGCAGGATCCAATCTGGGTCGGTCACCAGGACCAGAAGTTTTGCCTTCTGAGCTTTCGAAGTCGTGCTGGAAGCCCATCCTCGGGGAATTTCTTCACACAGAGAAGTTGCCTGAAAATGGGCTCCAGCATAAGTCCAAAAACTCGGAAGACAAAACTTCTGGTCCCGGTGACCGACCCAGATTGGATCCTGGAAAACAAGGCCCTGCATCCTCACCCAGTTTAGGCAGAGGAGCCCTCCGTGACCAACCTGTCTCCTCCTGCAAACGGTTGCAAAGCACAAAACACAACTGTATGGAAGTGGGAGGAGGAAGGAGTCTTTTGGCTCCCAGCTAAGGAGGGTTTTAAACCATTCAAATCGGCAGACTGGCAAAACTCAAGCACTGCCTTCTCCGCCTTCCTTGAATTAATTAATCTAATTAAGCAGAATTAATCTGGTGTGGCACAGCCTGAGTGGAAATGAAGCCTAATCTCTCCTGATCTGTTTCTGAGGTTGAAAAGTAAAACGGAAGAGGCAGCCGGGGAACTCCCTGCAGAAAGTCCTGGGAAGGGAGCATGGGGACTGCAGCAACATTGGAGGCCGTCCAGCCTCTTTCCATAGCAGTGGGCCTCTTAAGCCCTTGGGGCAGACCGGGCAAGCTATCTCGGGGCCATTGCTTAGGAGCCCCTTTTTCGGTGCCCTGTCTCCTCTCTCCGCAGAAGCATCGTTCCTTAGCCTCAACACAACCTAAAACAATGGAAATGCAGGTAAAGGCAACTACAATTAGCTGAGGGGAAGCAAAAATAAAATAAAAAATGTGTGTGTTATGTAATTTTCTAAGACACAGTAGCTAAAATGACTGCCGGGGGGGGGGGGGGGGGCAGAGACTTTCACCTTTGTCAGCAAATGCGGCAAGACAGCCAAGACCAATCCAGGTGTCTTGCTGGCATCTTGCCCAATTGTACAACTCTGAATGAGACTGGGATTCTTCCTTGCTTCCTATTAATGGTTTAGCCTCTTTTAAGCGCTCTGTAGTCCATAATCCACAGCCAGCCTCTCCACAGAGCTTCAGTGCCCTATTGCCTTCTCCCTTTCTGCGGTTCTTAATTCTGGCCTATCGCGTATCCAATTTTGTGCCAGAATCGCACATCTCAAGGTCATGGGCCAATGTCTCTAGGAGGAAACTAATGTCTGACAAAAGACTGGAGTTGTTTTTAGATCCTGCAGAGGAGAGAAGACACCTGCAGCATCCCCTGGGTTCTTAGATCACGTGTCTTACCAGTCCCACCTTCTAGAACAGGGGTGGGGAAGTGTGGCCCTTTTATGACTTGTGGACTTCAACTCCCAGAATTCCTGAGCCAGCATGGTGCCTTCCCCACCCCTGTTCTAGGAGATCCGGGGGGAACCCAAAAAGAACCGTGATCCAAGAACCTTTCAGGATAGCAAGAAGAAAAAAAAAGGAATCAGTAGTCACTTAAAAAATAAAACACACCAAACTGCCATCTCTAGGGAAGCAAAACCA